ACGACGAACGAGTAGAAATTAGTGAACAATGGTTGTCACAAGTTCTACTAGCTTACAATTGGAGGTGTTTGATGAACCAATTTTCGATCATTCACTAATTAGCCTACATGAGCATACATACAAACCATATGGTTCACCATCATTCAAGAATTCTGATGAAATCAGGATAGCTGTCAACTTTCAAGATTTGATACTCGATATTTCTGATAGCTACATATATATTGAGGGGAAATTCACACCAGATGATGCGACGAAATCCTGCTATCTATCTAACAATACCTTAGCCTTCCTCTTCGATGAAATTCGTTATGAAATGGGTGGCGAACAAGTATGTATGATTCGAAAACCAGGCATTACTACCACAATGAAGAGCATGATCTCTTATGGAGATTCTAACGCTAAATTTCTTGAAACAGTCGGATGGGGAATTGATAGCGAAAATCAGCCAATTCTAGACAAATCTAGTCACATATTCAGTGGAAAACTACCGCTAAAATATTTAATGGGGTTCGCTGAGGATTATAATAAAGGTATATTGAATGTGAAACAGGAGCTGATACTCATCATAGCTCGATCATTCAAAAACTGCTATATAGGAGAAGTTGATGCCAGTGTGGAGATTAACAAAATCGAATGGAAGATAGGACATATTATGCCATCGGATAAGCAGAGGTTGAAATTACTGAACCGTCTCAATAAAAGTTCTACAGCAAAAGTGAAAATTGCATACAGGATGTGGGATCTGTATGAATTACCGTCAATTCGTGAAACATCTTCAGACATTTGGGCTGTTAAAACCACCAATAGTCTCGAGCGACCAAGGTACATTATCATAGGCTTCCAAAATTCTGGTAACACAGATAATAGATCCAAGGATACCACCCAATTCATTCATGCGGGAGTCAACAATATTCGACTGTATTTGAATTCGGAAGTTTACCCTTATGAACGGTGGAATTTGGATTTTGGAAAAAAGTTAGATGCTGTAGCCTATTATGCATACGATAATTTCCAACGAAGCTATTATGGTAAAGACATGAGCGAACCAATGATGAGTATTGAGGAGTTTAGAAAAAATCCGTTATTCATCATAGACTGCAGCCATCAACCGGACACATTGAAATCTTCAACTGTCGATATCAAGTTGGAGTTTGAGACACGCCAATCGAAATTTCCATCTAATACCAAGGTATATGCGCTCATTCTTCACGATGCATTTTTGACATATAGCGCACTAGATGGTTCAATACAGTTGGGTGCTCCTTGAATACACTCTACAGATCTGGAGCAAATTCTAGCCTCCGTCCACCTCCACCACCACCGCCACAGCCGACCATGAGCATTCGAAGCCTATAATTGTATTAGATCAGTTTTTTCATTATTATTATTATGTTCATTATTATTTATTATCATCATGATTATTATTATTATTATTATTATTATTATCGACACATGTATCTGCACTAAATTGAATAAAAGTAAACAAATGTTTTACAAATCATCGTTTTTATTTCTTGATTGATAGACAATGAAAAATGCGAGCTCATCATCATCATTCCATAATTTATATATATACATGCAAATGATAATAGTATGATTGAAGCATCTCTTAGCAATATCATCATTTCGATTCTTCTTCTCCTTCCCCCTCGTTGTCGGATGATTCTGGAATTACCCCCAAGTTGTACTTCCGTATCAGGCTGTTTGGTAGGAAATCAAAAATTTCATACAGAAATTGGTCCAAGTCCTCTCCCACCATTGCTTCAAGAAATTCCTCCAAAGTGAAGCTACCATATTCGAACCGGGCGCATAACATATAACCCTTTCTATATTGTTCGGCTTGTTTACAGAGTCGTTCAACTTGTTCTCGATCGAAGCATATGCTCAAATCATAATTTGTCGCATGCATTGCATCACGTGACAAATCAGAGAACTGACATTTCAACCTGCTCACTGCTGATTTGATGTCTTCCGCTGCCGGCCAGAATTGACTAGAATAATACATCCACATGTTGGGGAACAGGAGTCTGTAAATGATAAAAAAAAGTTTGGTAATGATGAGATTATTTGGGAGATTTGTCTTTCATTGAATTCTTTTTGGAACCTAATTTATTACTTACCGCAAACGGTACGATCTGCGTTAGTGGCTTGTGTTAATGTAATAATAATTATCATATAATTTTTAAACCCTTTTCACTAAACTATACTAAAAAAACCTATCAGAAATAATTAAGTAGAATAATTCCGAATTAATTTTGCTTGAAGTCAAACTTGATGAGAGCCCTCGTTTTTGCACCTACATATAATGGCTCACTCTGGCCCAAATATGCTAGAGTATAAAGACCATTTGAAGAATTCATCTCATCAATGTCGCTGTCACTCAGCAACTCTACAACTCTTTTGGGCAACCAACATTTCAGACTAGCCTCAGTTTCTTCATCGTACAATATTACAGAACCGCTCCTACCAAACCTGGTTCCACATAGTGATATTTTCTTGACCACATAGCTTTTATTCAAGAGTAGTGATGAGATAACAGTTTGCTTGATAATATCATTGTCTTCGTTAATTCGATTATTTATCGTTAACAAATCAATTTTAGGAGCTGCCATTATAAATTCTTCTTTGTTGAGTGAAAAGAGGTGTAAAAAGTATATAAATAATTTTTACTTACATATAACAGTTCACGTACACTTTTATTGCAAACACTTTATATTCCCAATCAATTTGAGCGGGTATATTTTTTATGTGCGAGTTGGTGGTGCGTATCTTCCGTATTATTAGGAGAACTATGCTCTCGCAGACGATACAATGATGTATTTATAGGAACTGGGATATGTGACGTAACACAGCACCCCACTTCTACCAAAACGACCTCGACCAGCCTACTCCCATTTTCAAGGTCGCACACGCTTTCACCTCCCTCTCCAAGGTCGAGGTCTCTCTCTCTCTACAACTCAAGGTCACTCGTTCCCAAGGTCACATATGCGAAGGTTACTCGTACAACCTTCCTTCAAGGTCACTTTGTCTCGCCCTCAAGGTCACCTCCGCGTTCAAGGGCGTGCTGTCGACACTTCACTATACGAGGTTACTCCCGCCCAAGGTCAGACCCGTTCAAGGTCACTCCCGCCCAAGGTCACTCCCGCCCAAGGTCACTCCGCCCAAGGTCGGAGGACGGTGACCTAGGGCGGAGAGCCAGAACCGGCCAATCTTTACTACTTTCACCAGAAACAATTTTCTCCTTCTTATCAAACACGGAAAGCGATCATACGGGATAATCCTCCAATATCGATGGATATCCTATTCAAATTAAGAACCTGAAAAATCAACAATTACTTCTTACTCATCATCATTGGAATGACATTCCATGCGAAATATACTAAGTGATACAAAATTACACACATTGAATTTGTGCCTATAGTATATTCATTCTTACTTTCCATTTCTAGAAATCATCTGGCATTTGTGTATCAACCTGTATATTCCACATTGCATAACATTCCAAAAGTAATATCTTCTGATTCACATAATTATGTTTGTGATTGTGACTTCTAACTTTTCGATCGTATGACGTTTTCTATATCTGTCACAATACATTCATATTCTCAATACTTTCACGAACAGGATCACGAAGTTTCGATGAAATTATAATGAATCTCGACCATAGTTGGTTATTAGCCGTATACCGCCATTATATTCAATAATCACAGATTTTCACGGCACGCTCCACAATGCACGCATTGTAATCGACGATTCATCATCTAGAATGGTTTTCATTGGAAATTGCCGGCATTCGGCATACCAGAACGCGGAAAACGGTGGAAAGTCGTGCTAGGCACAGATTGTGTCTGCTACCCTGTCTGCGCCCACGTTTAAACTGTTGATCAAAAGATCAAGAGAAGAAGAAGAAGAATATCATGTCGTACACTTGTCAACAAAAATCATGCATCAAAATTTCCGGTTATGGATAGTGTGCACAACTGCTCACTGCGTCAGAGATAGGCCTAAGTACCAGAAAGTTGGGTCCCTTGCAAAAAGAACCAGACGTTGAAGAACTAAACAAATTACAGACATCAACAACCGTGCGAGATGATTTTCTAAGATCATCTCTCACATTTCCTGCAATTCATCTATCATAACAACAGATTCCTCGACAATAATTCGAATAATCAGAGGCGACTAACTGGGATTCTGGAAGATCCTCAGGATTCTTGAATGTAAAATTAAATCTGCTCTAGTAAAAGCTTCACCAGTTGACATCAAATCATTTTGAAAAGACTTCATGCGACTACCTTGACGACGTACCTATATGAAACTGCCATCTCCTGCAATATAAGATCCAATCAGAATGGTGTGCCTTGATAGTATGCTGCTTTGCCCTTCCGAGTCGGTAATGAATACAACTCGTGATCAAAATAATATCGAAGATTCTGCCAGAAATCTTAATTTGGATCAAATTGCTTTGCAGACTCGATTTCTGTCCGAATTACTAACGATAGTATTGCGCTCAAGGTATTACCCCTGATGATAATGACGAACGAAATAATGTCAATGATGAAGATATAATCTATCCAATATCTTTGGATACGTTCATCGCGAAAGGATATTCCTATTCTATTGACGTCATCAAATGCAAAAGTCGCCATTTCGAACGCAAAATCACCATTTCGATCAGAAGCGATGAGCACAGGAGGATAACTTAGTGAACATTGGTGAATAATTCTTATTTCCTTTGTTATGTTCTGCTAAGAAAAGTGTCTCTTCATGTAGATAATGTAAACTGGTATTTTTCTTAGAGGTTGCTGTACATTTTTTCCCGAAACAGATTGAAACAATCACCCCCTGATGTGTTCCTATTGGTTGCACGGGAAGAAATGCACACACTTGCAACCTGCAAAATATTATTTCTAGTTTCTCATCCGACCTTCTCAATTTCACTTTAATCCATGTAGCTCCATATATGATTCGATTTCGAAGTTTGAAAGTTGTTTCTTTTTCAGAAAATCAGAGATGTTTGCAGAGCGAATTCAGTTGTGGTGGCAACATTTGTATTCCCGGACAATTTGTTTGTGATGGCAGAAGAGATTGTGAGAATAATGCTGACGAACTGAACTGTACTGTGACAGGTGAGACGTTTATTTGATTTGTTTCCACCACATCAGTGTAAAATTATTCGTAATATCTTTGGTAATATCAAAATGAATGATATCACCGTTTGAAAACACTGACCGCGTTCACAATTTTAAGAGCATGTTTATTAAGCTTTCAAATGTGTGTTTAACTGCTTGATATGATTGGCTGCATTTTGAAGCATTTTGCATTTTGAAGCGTGCACAACTGCACATGCCTTTTGCCTGATTTTGACACATCTAAGCTTATATTTGAAAATGTTATAACAGTTTGGTCTATTAGTTTGTTTTTAGCTCCATAATTTTGATATGTTTCAATTATTTCATTGATGAACACTTATATAAAACGAACTGAGAGAACGAAACTAGCGAAATCATTCATCATTAAACAGGGTGAATCAAAATTCGATGTTGATATTTCAAGGACATATTGTGGATTCAAAATAAGACTTTTTCTTCTTATACAATCATATGTGTCCGTGTCTATTCGGACACTTCATTTCCTTCTTGCTACAGAAATGATGTAAACCCAGTTTTGGGGCAGTTGGAGGAGGGTCCACACTTGTATTGGCCCAAATTTTATGTTTTAAAAGAGAAACTCTGACTTTAAATAGCATGATCTTGTCGGTCATGAAAAATTTAAGAATTTAGTCTCTTGCACTAACCGTTTGCCAAAAAATCGTAATCAGAGAAAATTAAAGTAACGACATCGTTCGAACCATATCTTTCGAACGCAAAGGGTTAAACGCTTGCATCTTGCATACGGAGGTGATCGTATTTCGAAACGCATTTGAGACTGCTATTTCAGAGGCGTGCAGTACTGGAATACTTGCACTTGATTCGTTATTATGATCACAATAATTTCAATCACTATTTATTTTTAGCCAACCTACGCAATGGCTGTAGCTCGGAGGGGATGCATTTTAGGACACATGTTTCTATGAAGAAAAAGTATTATTTTGATCTCAACAATACCTCCTTGAAATATTTACATCGTATTTTTTATCACCCAATATAGAAACTATATTAATAATTTCGCAAAAATGTATGTATCCGTCGAATCTTACTTAACAAATTAATGTTTGCATGTCACAAAAATTAGAAGCGTGTAGAAGGGACCAGTTCAGGTGCAGTGACGGAAATTGTATCCCAATATCCTCGAAGTGCAATCGAAATTACGACTGCCTAGACTTGAGTGACGAAAGAAATTGTCGTAAGTGTTTTTGTAGAATCTCTTCATGTTCACTTACATGTATCATGTATCCTGTATAATTACTTCCAAAATCAAGATGAGAGGTCCCGAAATATATCCCACAACTCAATTACTGGAATGAGTCGTGTTGCGACATGAAACTGTGGGATTTTTTGCGACCTTAACGTCATGATGTATCATCTTTTTCTGACCTCATTCGATCTCGCATAATCTATTCTACATCCTCCATTTCTTCTCAACACTATGACGTATCCGTATCCCATTTCGTCTCGCAATTGATGTTCTAATATTCACAATCTATATTTCTAACCTACATGTTCTTATCATCGAACTCATCGAGAGAATAAACGTTTCTTTGCAGCATGTCTCCCGAACGATTTCCATTGCAAAAATGGATTCTGTATACCCCGTTCCCAGAGATGTGACGGTGTACGACACTGTCAAGACGGCTCTGATGAAAATGGCTGCTCAAGTATGCTCACTTCATTTTCTTACTGTCTACGAAAGAATACACCTATAAATAGTCACTCGTAGAAGCGTAATCGTAGAATGTAGCTAGTGATACATTTTGGGAATACTTTTTTCTCGACAACTAAGACATGAAATTGATATTTACGAATAGAATTTTCATTAGTTGGAATCGAGAAAAAATTGTTCGTCAAGTCTATAGGCTGTATATAATCCGACACCTAATATTAATGGCGTTGATGGTTGATTGTTGATGTACAAAGTGTGCAAAATTGGGCATTTCACGGATTATCTACGAGATGTGTAAGGTGAGCAAAACTCGATGTCACAGATATTTTATAAAAAAAGGCATACAAATCTGAAGTAGGTAATGTTGTCATCGAATTATTTCCAACTAAAAACGAACCTATATTTCAAAATCGAAAAAAAAATTTTGAGCAAATTCAAAATCGAGTTCAAAATAAAAGTCTTGACAAAAAAAGTAATTTAATAAAACAAGGGAAAATAATATTAGATTTTAGCTCGAGGTTGTGTGAGCTAGAATCTAATATCTTTCCAGTGTATGATACTCTATTTTTTTCTGTGACAGGAAAAAAGACAAATTAATATTGAGAAGATATTAGTGGATTTTACTGGAATTACACCTGCGTTGCAGGCATCTGTTTGCATGCATCTTCATCATTCATTTGCAGTAATCAAATATCTGTACGTCTAATTCTGTGATTTGATTTGAAAAAATTGCGAAGTCGAATGGAAGATAAAAATGCTTGCAGTTCGTTCTCGGAGACGGTGTTATTGGCTTATTTTTCGGAACTAGCACAAGAAAAGCCATCAACAGTGGATAAATACGAGATGTTTCTGTAATAAGTACACATATTCAGCTTATCGATATGATACAGTCTAACGAATATTGCCATGATATCACGAGAGGTATCACCCCAAATGTTATTTGGATTTCTATATTTTTTTATTAGTGCTATTCGATAGTATACGTCGAGCTTTCTCAGGGTTTGAAATATTTGCACTGATTTCAATGCCGCCCTGTATATCTGTGGAAAAAGTACTCACTTTTTTCCCGTGGGAAAAAAGTAATTTATGAAAAATAACATTTTTTCTGTGACGGGAAAAAAGTTTGGCATTTCATCTCTGTTGACAGGTTATAGAATGTCACTTTTCATTAATTACTTTCTTCCCGTGGGAAAAAAGTGAGTACTGTTTTCACCTCGGTTTTCACAGATATAAATCACATATATACAGTATGATGCAAATGTATGGAATAAATTCATTTCAAAACAAGACGACTTCCGAAAAAAATCCAAAAAGTAGAGTTCAGAACTTTCATATCGATGTATTTTTTTCAACTGGACGACCCTTCGATGTTCAATTCTCAGTAGAAGATCTCTGCAAGATTCAGTTGACCAAATGATAATCCATTTTAATTTCAATCTTCTTTTGCAAAATTTTGACTATTGGATAGACGATCAGTAGACCTTTCAAACGAGGTGTCACATGACCCCTGCTTGTATTTGAAAAAATCGTCCATTACGTCATTACTTCTACACCGGTGACGTAACATCTCTCATATGAATGTCATGAGATGATGTTTCAAAAATTAAAACTCACGTGTTTTTGGAATTTCTTCAAATGTCGCCCATTTCTGAAATAATGAATTTATTCCATACATTTGCATCATACTGTATATACACTATAATACCGTCTCCGAGAAAGTTTTTTTATCTTCCATTCGACTTCGCGGTTACGTATATTACTAAACAACCACTAAATTCGCAATTTTTTTTGAAATCAAATCACAGAATTAGACTGACAGCAGTGACATCAGATATTTGATTACTAAAAAGAATGATAAAGTTGCCTACAACGCAGATGTCCCTACTGTTAAAAACTTAAAATTTCACGTCGTTAATTTTCAGATTTCAAAATAATGTAATTTCTTCTCAATATTGATTCATCCTTTCTTCTGTCACAGAAAAAAAAATTGTATTATACACGGGAAAAATATTAGAATTTACCTCACGGTTTTTTGTCTCCCTCCGCTACGCGTCGGGAGCTAAAATCTACTACTTTTTTCCCTTGTATAATAAATAACTATTTATAACCTGTCAACAGAGATAAAATGTCAAACTTTTTTCCCGTTACAGAAGAAAAAATATTACCTTCCAAACAAACATGAATGACGCAAAACATTTCATAAAGAAGAATCAAAGCGTTATCAAGTAATAAGGACAATTTTACCGTGTTGAATAGAATGTAGGTATTTCAATCACAATTATTGTCCCACAATAGTTTCTGCAAACCAGAGCAGCTCACAAAATATGTCCAAAGCATTTTATAGAGTTGACTCGTGAAAACTCCCAATTTTGCTAACACTTTGCTGGTGACAGGCTGCTGATTGAATTTTGGTGGAGGTGGTTTCGGTTTGGAAATTGAAAGCTTTTGAGGAGAATATGCCATCCTTGGATGAAAATAATACTAACTTACTGAATATGTTACTCCAAAAAATTGATTAACCTGTTCTGATCAACATCACTTTGATTTTTCAACATTTCAACATTTCGTGCAGAAATGCTAGTCACCTCTAAGAAATCGAGGGTGTGCGGTCAAAAAATATATATTTTTGTCATTTATGGGGATTCTTTCAGTTAATGACATTGTGACTGGGACTGATCATTTTGACTAGACTAGAGTGCCTCGAACATCTCATTTTGACACGCTTGTCATGTTGTTAAACAGCTGAACAAAACACATGAGTCACAAATATGTTTTATAAGAAATGGAATGTAATTTTATTTACAACCATATATATTATAATATAATGTTGTCTTCACTATCGTCTTTGAAGGTTGGGAAGCGTCACATTACACACCTGTTACACAATGTTGACAACATAAATATAGACTTGGCTACAATTCTCGAATGGGGATCCAATAACTTGGTAGATTTCAATGAAAACAAAACGCAAGCATGCAAGCCGATATCCATATGCCCAACATAAGCTTGTCAGGAGTAACAACCATACCTTTGAAGACATCCATTTCGATGCTTATTGGTATTACTATCAGCAATAACCTTTCTTGAGAAAATCACGTGAGATCAATTGCTGAAACTGCATCCCAAAAACTTGGTTTTCTGTTTCGGGCCAGGAGCTATTTCACTTCCAGTCAGCTGCTTATGATCTATACGGCACAGAACCTGTCACCCAAATTTACCCTGAAACTGTTGGATTTTGTCCAAAAAAGGGCGATTCGTCTCGTGGGTGATGCCTCGCTCAAAAACTCATTCACTCCCCTGGAACACCGTAGAACAGTTGGCGATCTGGCTCTATTTTATAGATATTTTCATGGACGATGCTCTTCTGAAATATCAACAATTGTTCCTCCCTTGGCAGTCCCCGCGAGATTAACCCGTCGAGTTGAGGCTTCGCACCCCTTTGTGGTCACTTTGGAGACCTACAGAACATCTCTTTCCAAAGACTCGTTCATCCAACAAACAGCGAGGCTCTGGAACACACACGCTTTGCGTCTCGGTTAACTAACTAATCTCACGATAGGAATGCATCTCTTCCCACCTCACGGTGTGTAATATACTATTTCAGTACCCCTTCATTGAACGAGTTCAGACATATTATTTTTTGAAGCCCTATCAGTGGCGTAACACCAAGTTATATCAATAATATATCATTGAATGTATTTTCATGAAATGGATATTGGAATTTGAAGCTTCAACAAACACTTCAAATGTCCGCTCGTCTTTGAGCAACGCAAATAAATCATTCTTAGAATTCTTGCGATTCGTTACCGAACAAGACATTATTCGAAAACATTTTCTTGGGGACGCCTATTCAATTTTCAGATCTGACGTTTCAAATCTGAGAATGATGACAATTCGTTAATGTGATGGTGACAAGCGTGTCCTCGCTCTTTGAAGGGTGTGAAATGAGAAGTTCGTTACGTTGTCGTCAGCAAAACTACCAAGTTTCATTGAATTTGGCATAAGGCACCCCCTAAATATTTTTACACATCCATTTACTATCTGTATATTTAGGAAAAACAACCATACATACTGAATTACTAGATGATCAATAAATGACCACGTGATACGCATTGTCGTATTGTCATGCATAAAGTTGATAACAGTATAATACTTCATTAATACTAATTTTATGGAAAATAATTCAGTAGAATCTAATCAGCATCAATGAACAAGAGTTAACTTTCATCATTTTCGTCATTATCGTCATTTCTAGTTTTGCGGGAGAATTGAAGAACAAAAATCTGCAATATTTTCAAAAATTAAGATTTTTCTGATATCATTCATGCATTCAGAATCAGAATGAAAGTCTTTTTAATTTATTTATTCATTCACCATTCGCCTTCGTCTCGTATTCAAATTTTCAGCTTCGTGGGTATTAGTCATCATAATGCGAATAATATACATACTATTATTTTGTCCGGAATGCATAGCCAAATTGTTCATCATTTCTGAAAATATCGCAATTTCTACAATTTCTATTTCCCCAAAACTCCCGCCAACTGTAAATGACCACCAAAAGAGTCAGGTATTATTTTGGTGTTATCAGTTTTGATTGATGCTCAAACAGAAAGTATTTCTCAGAACACAATGTTGACGACGTCACCAAGTTTATGAATTTAGTAGGTTAGTCTTCAGACAGCAATGAACTCAATTCACCCGAATCGGTTCATAGTCGGAATTTGAGACCAATCAGGACGATTTTGGCTTGCAAACTGAAAATATTTTCATGACAACATTTTTAAACACGTAAATCTGACAACTTTTTCTTAGGAATAAATACTGGATAACTCATTATTCCAGATATTTTCTCTAGGATGGTAATTGAGATAAGTCGAATCTATTGGATTTCTCAAGAATCAATACTGGCTTCCAATTAGTAAAACATGACAGGTGATGTAGGTACTAAAAATGAATATTCAGGAACACATGCCGTTGCTAAAAATTCATAAAAAAATTCTGGCATCATTATTAGGAACAACCAACAGCAATATCTAGACGTAGAAACGACCTTTTAGGTGAAAGTATGTAGTGTTGGTGGCATTCAAAAATTTAGTGCTTATTGAGAAGAATATTACAGCCAGCTTTCCAAAAAATTGAAGAATACATATATTTTTGGTAACTATAATGTGTCCCGACCTCGGTCCCGACTATTTATTTCTGGTACCTTTCTCACGTCATGATTTGTTAATTACAAGTCATTATTGCAAGATACTTGTGAAAAATGAAATGGATTGTGACTTATTGACAATATTCCACTTGGAGAGAGTTATTCACTTCTTGCTATTTGTTGGCAGTAGTTAGTGTCATTTGTCGATCGCATTGTCTTTTGTCAAAGTCAATTATAATTAGCTTGAGAAAAAGAGGGTCCAGGAAGTTCTTGCTTTTATTTTCAATAATTAACCATTCAAAAGTTTCTGATCTGAGAAAAATACAATAATTTCGACAATGGCGCTGATTTTATACAAGTTTGACATCTGACAAATCTGCCAACAGTGCCAACCTCATACTTCTGAAAATATGGTCGATTTCAATGACCTATCATTGAGATATTTTCAATATGTAAGTGATATGAGTGGTTCAAATTCAACACCAAGACCGAATTCGTTCTAGTGACGGAGTTTAGTCCAAGATGGCAACACAATTTATAAGAGAAAACCTCTTACTTTTTCAAGTTCTGCATTTTTTGAGAATATTATGATGTATTGAAATATAAATCATTTTTCCGAGACAGATTATCGTTGAATCATTGAAAATAATTCACAAATGTATCAGGTTAGGTTAGGTTGTCATTTTTAGATGATTTAAAGTTTTGAATGATTGCTAATGTTCTAAAAAATACCAAAAAATTAGATGAATGGTGGGCTTGATGACCATGATGAATAACTGGCTGACCCTAGCACTGTAAAAGTATATCTAATAATGGCAGATCATGGTTTTCATCAATATCATCAGAAAGAAAGTGTTGGAATTCAAAGAAAAGAGAGTGAGAGTTTTTCACTAATGAATTATTCTGGCATCTGGGACCGAACTTCTTCATGAATCTAAAATGTTTACCATGGATCATCGACATAACCTACTATCATATAAATTGTTCGCCTGAAAACGCTCATGCGCAAGCCGCAGAATAATCAAAAGTGTCATTCATGACATAGATTTATGTCACTCGACGTTCGGAAGCATGACTAAGAGTGAGTATGATATATGACAGGTCCTGAATGCGCACGCTCCATGAGATACAGTTCGATCTCGTAAGGGATGATATTTTGTCTTATGGCATATTAGCGATTTTGATAGTAAGTTATGTCGGTGCAATGAACCGATTCCTTCGACATAAACGACAAACCCATTAACATATTCGATAGCACGTTGCGAACCGCACCAATGGACCTGCTCAGACGGCACTTGTATCGACCAAATATACAGGTGCAACTTGGTGAAAGATTGTCCAGACAATTCCGACGAGACAGGATGCAATCATTGTCTGTCCGATCAGTTTCGTTGCAATGACGGCACTTGCTTGAGCTTGTCGAAAAGGTGCAACGGTGTGGCTGAATGCATGCACTCTGAGGACGAGGAGAGCTGTGGTTAGTTTGCCTCCGTAATATTCTGTCTCTGTCCTTCTTAGTTTCTTCCTCATAATGGTCTTCTCACTGTAACAAAGAAATGACATAAGGTTCATTCGGGTTCGACCTATTAGGTTCATTCGGGTCCGAACTATTACGGTTCTTGAACTGTCAAGAGTTTGCGCAGTAGAATCGGTCGCGTTCGGGTTTTGTGGAACTGTTCTAGGACTGACTCTTTACGCGTTCGGATTTTTCCAGAATCGTCCTGGGACGGTCCTAGAACTATCCGAAACCAGTACCTGCTCTCGAGCATGAACCGTTCTAGGATTATTTTTGGCGCATGCTCCTTTCATTTAGTTTTCGATTCTGTCTGCTGTAGCGTAACGTCATAATGATATATTTTTGTTTATTCTACTGTTCATTGCTCTTTTCAATATTATGGAGTTAGTACATTCATTTGATAGTATAGTAGATCTTCATCTTCAGGAAGCAGTGGTGAAGGAGCAACTTGCTGACGTTGCTGAAAATATTTTACCTAATCTGATAATTCTTGAACTTTTGTTAGATAAACCGAAAAATGGAGGATTATGTTGGGGAGACTCTACCATTATATTCAAATACACAGTTCATTGAACATTTCAGGTAGGTGATCGAAATTCAGGTACAAGGGACAAAACATATTGAAAATCTAGCTACGAATACTATGATGGAATATATTCACCATTCCTCCACAGAGGGTTTTCAGAGATATTGTGAATAGACTCAAAGGAGAGTCTGAAGCTTCAGAATATTATTCGAATAAAGATACAGGTTCCAAATTATTGTTTTTTTCGCAAATTCTGCATAGACCCAGCAAACAGCGAAAGGCGGTAGAAAGCCGGGCCCATGGCGAGAACGGCGGGCAAATGTCGATGTCGGCATGCCTCGAAAGGCCCTCCAAATAATTTCGAACGATTATGTGACGAAGGCAGAATGTACACATACTTATGATAGGCCTCTGTTTCCCAGTCGCTAGTTCTCCGCTGTATGTATCCAAGTCAAAGGGCCATCAAAATTTCAACGGAGTGTGCCATCATCACTCACTCAACGTTGGCATCCCTCGCTCGCGTGAGTTTTTATTTTGATCATTTTGCAGTGGTAACAATGATTCAGTATGGCGTATATTGATTTCTTTGTTTATGTTGTCTCAACACTCTCAAAAGAGATTTTAGTACTGTGTTCAGTTATGGTTCAGTTCGTGTTTGGTTTTCTTGTGGATTTTTATACAAAATAGAAGGGAATTGAAATAAACACAGAGTGAGTGAGGAACAAACATATATACAAACTTGCACAGCTGAATAATTCTATTTTAGATAATGAATTAACAAACACCATTGGACAAACAGATGCAATAATAGTTTGGACGTGTTCAGCGGATACACAAGAATATAATAATTGAGGATTCTGAAGATGCATGAGCTTTCATTACATATGAATCGAAACGAAAATCAAAGATAGCTACTTGAAGAAACAGTTATATTTCAATACTGTAGGTATGTATAGGGTTGCATGTTTTGGATTAGTAGAGAATGAAATCATTCAATCTTTCAGCTACAAATTCAACAATCAGAAGCCCATCAATCTCAGATATTAATGAAGAAATCACACAAAGATCCAGACTATATGATATAAATTTCTTCATGGTATATGATATCTCACTTCCAGGCAACACTCATATCAATATGATGTAGAGTAAGGTTCTCCATATCTGGACATTGTTTTCTTGTAGATTGAACTCCATTGTTGACAATAACTTGATCAATATAATAACTGATTACCTACATAACTTTCAAGTTATTCGGTAGGTACATAGGTGATGTAATTTTTGACCTAGAGTTAGCAACTTTTTGAAACAATGAGTATACAGAGTGATACATTGAACTAGAATCAAGATGTTTGATGTTTCCATAGTTGTGATATGTATTGGTTGTGATCATGGCAATAATATACACACATGGATATTTTCAGTTCTTGTTTTTCTATGGGGTATTTATACTGCTAGTTTCCTGGAAATAACTGTGATATCAGAATGCCATCTCAGAGATTTTTATGTAATTATTCAACAACTTCAGGTAAGGAGTGAATTCCACATTTCTGTTTCACCCAGAGGATTCACAGAAAACTCGGAGACCTCAATTCTGTTTTTTGAAGTTCCACATTTTTTAACCAGTTTGAAAATAAAGAGAATGATGCAAATCTGAGTGAAAATGAGATACGTTGCTTTCCAAGTGATGATATAAACTGGAATACCTATCAAAAAACCTATTTTCACTGAGATATGTGCATTACCCTGTATAATCTCTGACAAACCTAGTTGAAAAATGGGACATTAAAAAACAGAATACTATGAATATTGAATTCATTCAACCCCCTAACCAACGGCCCTGAAAAACTCCTCTATCGGGGGAATGAAAATACTCAAGCGGCCAATTAATGGCAGTCTCTGAAAAGTCTCAATCGGGCCGAAGATATGCCATGAATGCAGTACATTTGAGTACTTGCTGCTGCCCACCAGAAGCCCTGCAACGTAATAAGCGGCATACTGATGGCTCTAGTGAGGCGGTCGGCTGTCGGCCGCCGGGACACGGGCTAGCCGGCCCAATTCAGTTGTACAATAGAGGCCCGCTGTTACTGCTCGCCGGCAAGTTTCATTGTACCTTTAGAGGGCCGCAAAAATCATGTTTGCTGGGGAGGTTAGGTTCTCAGAGGTTCTCTTCTGCCGCGTTCGGGTTTTCATAATTTGTGAACCGTTCTGAAACAATCCTAGAATTCGAAACGACTGCGCACTAGCTCTGCGCAGTTCGAGCGCAATTCATGAACAGTTCTGAAATCGGAACCCGAATGAACCTATAGACTATCGAAATATTCGGTGTCGAGTCTACACACGAATACAGTTATTGAAAACTATCACAAAATTCCAGTCGCCGGATAATACAGGAAGTTCTAGTCATGTTATCGCCATCTAGTGGCCATACACTGTATGACGCTACCATCTTCAGTCAACACGTGGAGACCCTTACGTCTATACGTTACAGAGTGGTAGAACAGGGACAGATGGCACTACCTGACTACTGAGTGGAATGATCCACCAGTCGTATTCATTGAACTATATCTCATAATCAAGAGATCCAGGTTGAACAGAGTTGTCCACATTTGTCAGCAGGAGCGAAACAGTACTGTTTCGGCCCACCATTTCATATCATTTGTTAGCAGACGAAGAGCGGCTGATGAGACCTGATGAGCCGAAACATAACTGTCTCACCCCTGCTGACTCTCTGTTCATCCTAGATCTCTTAATTATGGAATCTAGTTCTAAAATTTCCGGTTATTCCGTTGTTTTGTCGTGTGGATATCATCAGGGGCAGTTGGTTCCTGACTTTGTAGCAAAACAACGATTCATTTGTTCAAAAAATCACCAAAATTTGGTTGATTTTCAATATTCACTGAAAACTTTTTTTCATATTGTAAGGAGGATCATTCGCCATCTAGTGTACTACAAGTCTGCTACGGATAACAAAAGTGGAAATAAGTCATGTATCCTAGTCAAAGAATTGAATCTAAGATCTCAGCTCACTAACGAGTTAGTATAAGCAGAGTGTGACTGATGAGGCCAAGTTCATCGAAAGAGTACTGTCTCGCACTTGCTGAAAATTGGGACAACTCATCAATTCTAGTCATGGAATTTAGTTTTTTTTGTTATTCATTCTGTTATTCATGCATTGATGTGTGAATTACACATGTCATTATTGTTGCAGTGAAACGACTATAGTTGTTCTTTTTGTTCTGTCTTCTACAATTGATGTTACTAGTCCAGTTCACTGTCCTGTAGAACGTTTCTCCTATGTGTTTCCCCTTGTAGCTGGAGGTCGTTAACATGACTGGTAGAATTAGCTTAACCTAAACATACCATCTAATTTCGTAATGTTTTTTGTTTTCAATATTCAAAAGTGTTTCGAAACTTCAAGAAATTTCATCCAATTATCCTTTCAAAAAATTATACAAATTAACAGAAGGGGATTGGCGAAGAGATGAGTCAATAATTCTACCGGTTGAGTAGGTGTTTAAATACTTTTCTTAACCTTCAGAACTCCAAATTAGATAATTATGAGATATATTGAATGACAGAACACCAAACAGTAATACAGGAACTTGATGAAAATTTGATTTGATTCAGTTTAAACATGCAGCTAATGCACTGAACTCTTGTCATATAACATATCGAAATTATCGAATTTCCTGGATATTTAAGACCTACTGTACTTTTTACTCACACTTAGTCTTATTTTGTGCACATTTAGCTATATGCAAGCAACACGAATTCACTTGCTCAAATGGAGATTGTATAAACGAGAGGCTCCGTTGTAATAGCATCAGAGACTGTTCCGATGGTTCTGACGAGCAGAAATGTGCTGACGGTAAGAAATTCAGTAGTTATTCCAATAATTTCTGCTCGATCTCGATCTATTTTTTTCTATGATACGAGAAATTCGATTTGTGATTGATAATTATGAATATCGATTGTTTCAATCGATTTTTACTAAACAGCAAGGGCAAGAAGCATATCGAATAGCTCAATCATTACTTCTTCTTATTCTTTCCCTCTGAAATTGTATGAAAAACAATGATAGAGGTCATAACTTCGAAATACTTCGAAGAACTATCTTCTTCATGGATTATCTGTTCCTTCTCTATTGGTTCTACTTCGATCTTTTCTCTTCCAGCACTTCTTTCGATAATGACAGGTTATTACCTGGAAAGCTCGAAGCAAATGGCACTGGTGAGGTTGCAGGTCTTATCAACTGTCGATCTCTGTTTATTCATTTGCAGGAACGAAATTCATTTACGATACTTCAGCAATAATCGTTATTCCATTGCCTCAACTTTGTAGTGTGCTTTTGTGTTTCTCGAGTATACAGGTACATCATAACCTCACTTCGTATGTTCATATAATTTTCAGGCATCATGACAAATGACCCCCGACCACACTAGTGCCGCTATGCGGGAGCAATAACGGATATCCCTGCTATTGATTATTATTATTTAGTAGACTAGGTATATTATGGACAGTTCCTACCCACCCACACACATTCCAAAACTACCGTACGACTCATTCCTACTGACAACAAACATTCTTTAACATTATTCGTCTTGAGAATCTTCCTTTTATGAAAGTATTATTAGATGTTTAATCACCTTCTATAATGGCATGTGGTTTGCTCCGGCTGATTGTCGCATGTAGACGAAAAAATTGAATGTATCACGAATACATGGAGGTGTTTGGATAACTTGAGGTGTGTGAAAATAAGTAGTCTTTGCGACGGAATCCGGAACTGTGAAGATTCGAGCGACGAGGACCCAAAGAATTGCAAGGAATCTGTATCGGCAGCTTATAGGCCGACACCCGAAACAATAACAAAAGGTAATTCACATCTTCAAATGCATTGGGAAATGTGCTTCAATTCGGGAAGTCCTTCAATTGAAAGAACAGCTACTTGATTTGTGAATAAGTTGTGGAATAGCTTCATCTTTCCTGAAACAAAATTTGCATCTTATACTCAACAACGGTACCTCGTTTCAGCTTCAGGATAAAAATCATTTGGATAAGAAAATTAACTGCAACAATTGTATCTTTCCTGCTTTGTGACTGAATTCTAGGTTCCAAAAAAATACTCTTCATCCCAAACGACTCTCAAGCTCATAGCTAAGAGTTGAAAAAGACTACTTACTTTCCTGTGATGACTACAAACATATACTAACAATAATGACTGTCATGTACTTACATCTGAAATAATAATGCATCAATGCTTCAAGTACTAACCCAGAAGTCTTCAGATATATGCACTGATGAATCTCAGTGTTTATAGTGGTTTCTTCACCAGTTGGTTATCGACAGTCTAACAGCACGTCTGCATCGAAATTCTGTGGAGTTAAAAACTGCTTGGGATGGAATGCGGTACCAATGAAAATATTTGGTACTTGATGGATAATACCAAACAAGATCAACTTTTATCGGCATCGATATCATTATTGAGCAGCATTTCTGAAAAACTTGAGTATTCCAATCAGGTCCACCCAGATGTCCAGAGGGAGAATTTGAATGCAGAGAAGGTTACTGCATTGTGGGTTACAAACGATGTAATGGGTATAACGATTGTCCTAGTGGTAGCGATGAAGAAAATTGCCCCACTGCAGCCACCACAGCCTTGCCCATCACCACCGGACCTCCTGGTATGTCGATTTCTCCGAATTATCGGTCCGAAGCCTGAGGGAGAACTACAACTAACAATAACTTTAGTTCGAGCAACTAACCAACAATTATTATTCACAATCCACATCAACACTTTACACTTACATTGAAAGCATGGATGTGAGCATGTGGTATGGGTTATAATTGAATCAAGATATGTCTTTTTTGCATCAAAATAATAATTTTAAGAAGCATAACTCGTGAATGTTAATGAAAAAATCGAAGTTGTCGCCTGTATTGTATATCACAATAATGAATATGCGTTTTAAATCATTGAATTTGGATGATACTCCTATATCCTGAAACCTAAGAATGAATATTCTTCCAAATGCGATGTGCTGAGATCATTGAAAATTAAAGATAACCATTCGCAATGATGCTATACTATCGATATCTGCTTTGCTTCGATTATTAACTGCAAAACACTAGCACTGGCTTTTTTCCTGCACAGAATTGGCTTGCACTACTAACGAATTTCGCTGCGACGATGGCATTTGCGTCGAAGCTTCATATGTTTGTGACACCATACCAGATTGCCTTGACAAATCTGACGAGAATAACTGTGATCCAGATAACTATGGTAGGCAATAACAGAAATATTAAGTTAATGCACCATTATGTTTCTTACGTTGAATTACAAATTACAACCAAACTAGGGATATGGAATTGCATAGAGTAGGTGTAGTAGGAAAGAACACAAATATGCTGTAATTCTTCAAAAAATGCCCTGCATTATCATGGAATGTTCAAACTCGGCGGCAAACTCGTCTATCAAGTACTGATGTTATGATACTTTTTTTTGTGTTGCCAGCTGTTTCATCTTGAGGAAATCAAATAAATATTCCTCAATTTTCAAATCAATCCAACTGTGAAATGTAGTAAATGTCATCAATATATGTTTTACACCCATTGCCACTTCTACAAGTTTATGGCTGACATGATTACAGCGACAAAATTCGGTCTAATCCTTAAGCACGAGGTGTATACAATCTGAATGAACGATTTTGGGATACTTGCCATCTTAATAAACCTCAAATTCTGGTTACATATCACTTTTATATAATATGACACAGTCCAGTTTATAAGAGAACAAGAACAAGTGAGTTTTAAACTGTCTTATACTCAGTTCATCCATGAGATTGTTGAAATCAGTTGAACATTAAGAGCGATAAATGTTGAAATATCTAATCAAGTTGAAGAATCGGTTGAGTTGGCAATGCTATTTATCTCACTGAATAGTGAATTATCGATTATTCTCAACCACCAATGGACGGTTGGCACCTTATAGTACTTGTGACGTCAGTACCGCTGACGATTTTCCTAACAGGAGCATTTCTTTGTGAATTTAATTCGGAAAATCTACATAATAAGGAAAACAAAATTCAAGAGAATTCCCTGTTCCATTTCTCATAGTTGATGGATGTCAGATTATTTTTTCTAGATATTAGTGTTCTTGCCTATTCAGCTTATTATCTAGTCAGATCAGCTGTAGTATTCACAGTTCAGAAACCTACAGAAAATAATCGAGATCAACTATATAACCCATTCATGTTCCATGTTTGTACTTAACAAAATGTCAGCTGTATAATGACTTACTCATAATACTTTATTGGAAACTAGATAACAATCAATATTTACTCTCTTCGCGCTTTCAATATCACACAAATGGTGGGACATCTATGAATTCATACTATGATACTGGTACTATTCAGTCTGCGGACCGGACGACCTCGTGTGTCAAGATGGTAGTTGCGTACCGGGCGGCAACCGCTGCGATCGGGTCTACGACTGCGCAGACGGATCCGACGAAAATGACTGCGAGGGTATTTGCGACCCTTCGAAGTTCCGTTGCGCAGATGGCGCTTGCATCGACGAAGGTCTGCGTTGCGACGGTCTCAGAGATTGTTTAGATGGGTCCGACGAAGAGAACTGTGGTATGTTGTCGGCTACCGGTTGACAGATCGCATCGGCTTGTTAATCAGTAATCCTCAGGCTGGCTGGAAAGTGGAGTTTCAGGACCCAGGTGTTGGCTTCTCGAGAGGTGTCCCATGATATCCGTTCCACCTAACCTTTCCCTGATAGCACACAACGTCCTGTGGACGTCCCTATTTAGTAAAATTCAAGTCCGAATGTCCCGGACCAAAAATAAGTGTCCTTTAAACGTCCCATCCCGTACATCTCATGCAATGTCCGAGCAAGGACGTCCACGGAATGTCCCAGCAGGTACATCATTTCAAATGTCCTACAAATATCATTCCTTAGACTTCCCACGTGGTATATATTGTAGAATGTCCATGCAAGGAAGTCCTTGGCATGTCCCTGATGGGATATGATTTCAAACGTCCTTCAGGAAAATCCATCGGATGTCCCGAGTAGTACATATTCTGGCATGACTTCAGATCTTATATAATGTCCCTTCTAGACAATCATGAAATGTCCCTGATGGTACATTCCTTCAAATATCTCTGCACAGACGCCCTTAATATTTCCAGAATCGTTTAACAATCGAAATGTCCCTTAGGGATATCCGTCGGATGTCCCAATTGGTACATGAGCTGTACTCTTCCAATGTCCTAGAAATAACGTCCTACGGGCGTCCAAGTCGGTACTATCAATATGTTGTCCCTGCGAGGACGTTAACTTACACCTCGCCGACGGATAATTGCTTGTAGACTATAAATACTTCCCGTCAATGTCCTTCACGTAAGTCCATTGGACATCCTTGGGAAACTTTTCCAACTAAAGTGGATGTCCTCATCAGTTAGGCAAGATCTGGTCCTAGAGGGACCCAGAAAAATTCAAATTCAAGAATAATTTGTACGTTCCTGGGACATCCTATGGCCATCCAATTGACATCCCTCAGCGTTGCTGATAGGTTGTCCTACGAAAGTCCTAAGACATCCACAGACGTCCAATGGACGTCCACGGTACCAAATTCGAACGTCCTATGGACGTCCTGAATGTCCCGACAGGGCGTCCTAAGGATATCCATGGGACATAATTGTGTTATTAGGGTTATTCATTACCACTTCTTCCTTTCAGCTCATATAAAAAAGAAGAAGAATTTACTCTCATACTGCAGTAAAAACCAATATTATGCTAAACCTCTGTAGAAGTTCAACGATTGCGAATTGAAACGTCTGTGACCTGGATGCAGATTAGCGATAGTGGTTTGGAGTTGGCTGGCTGATTTTCTGAATAAAATTTAACCGATTGATACTCTCCTACCCTTATAACTCCTAAGCTTGTTAGTCTAACTCCACTGAATCACTGAAGAGTAGCTTCTGATGAGACGTAACTTCTTAGTCTGGTTATGACAAGTTCATCCTTCTATGAACGAAAACACTATACTGACCAAATAGTAAGCCTCTCTAACATAGTCTCCTTATAGAGAATATAGTTGCTAGACAGGTGTTGGGCCAAGATTCTCGAGGCAATTTCATAATCATATCTCGTTTCGATTTAGTATCCCATTGTCCTGATGAGCAATTCCGGTGCAGCAATGGCGTGTGTCTGGATAATAGGAGGCGTTGCGACGGTTTCAGTGATTGTCCCGACGGCAGTGACGAAGACCAATGCAGAAATGTCACTACCCGTATGTTTCCTTATTTAAAAAAATGAAAAAACCTTCTATATCATATTCTTCTTCTTCTCTTCGTTTTTCTGATAGGTTCAGTGCTAACAGATGCTGATATGAATCGACTTATCAATTAATCATTCCAGAATTACGTCATTTGACAGGTCGTTGGAGGGCAAACATGACACTTTGTCATATGAAACCAGAAGTAGAGGAATCGTTTTCTTTGGAACCCGAGTTGGAACCCAAATGAATTTCATGATTTAGTGAGGTGAATCTGCTATTATAGTATTCTGGATGTGGGCAGGGCTATGCTCATCCAAGGTAACCTAACAGATAGTGTTTGTTGTGCCCTCCAAGAAACCGTGTCAAAATCACGTGTTCTAGAATGATCAATTTGCTTTTTTTTCTTGCTATTCAGTAATTGTGTGTCCACGATGATGTACAGTATGGGGATCTTGGAAACAGTAAGAGATCGAGCATTGTTCAAAATCAAATGAATATTCAATCTGGTGCTTCTACAGAGGATGCAAAAGATATCTAAAAACCGAAAGAACTTTGGCCGGACCAAAATTTTCCTTATCCAAGATCCCTATGTTGTGCGTGCTCATTATAAACAAACTGTACAAATAATATTTCACAGACAGAATCATTCAAGATGATTAATCGATTCAATGAGAGCTTTTTCACTCTTGAATGAAATGGAGGGTGATTGAGATTTTTCGAATCAAACATGGCGACAAAACTCTTACTCGTTCTGTTTGATATACTCGAGTTCTAGCCCTAACCCAAATTTGGAATTGATGAAAAATAATAATAGCCCGGAAGCCAGCGACCTTTTTCAATAACCAAAAGCACAAAAGCTGAAAATGTTTTCTGAGCTTCATTTAGTATCACTAGTAAGGAAATCGGCCTCCAGCTGGCGCACTTCCGGGGGGTGTAGTTGCAGCAGCGTCCCAAACACGTAAAATTATAATAAAAAAAAACTGATATCACAAAAGCTGAAACTTTGTTAACATGTTGATTATCATACAAATAGATCAAAAAACGTATCCAGCCGAACTTATACTGGGGGATTATGCTCCAGCTTTTCACGTAAAGAAGTTAAAAATATGCGCTGAGTAAACTAATACCGCAAAAGCTGAAATTTGGTGAACAAATAGTTAAATTAATAACATAAACGATGAGAACATCCAGCTTTACATTGGGTGGGGGAAAAGTGCCCAGCTGATGCAGTGAAATACGCTGCGCATGGATATCTCGGGCGCATCGTATCTTTGACTGCATCAGCTGGACACTTTGCCCTCACTAAATGATGAGCGGGATTTTTTTTTGTTTAACCCATTATTTCAACTATAGGTACACCAAATATCAGCTTTTGCGGTATCAGGTATCTATACTTCTCTCATTAAACACAGCGCGCTGTCCATGCATCAAATGCGCTGGCAGAATCCACAGATTTATCATCGAATATGTGCTGATGGACAGGTGTGAACCGACACTGCCCTCTCTCGGCCAACTCCTACTAGAATTTGGCGCCTCTGCTCAGAATCAGAGATGTTCTGATGTTCGGTGGCTCAAAATTTGTTACCTACACTGAAAAAACATGCTTGCAAAAATAGCAGAAGTATTTTGTGGTATATTCATAATGAAAAAAATATTTATGTTCCGACTAATTTGGCCACACAGATAAATTCAAAATGAAACTGCAAAAAAATTGTGATCATCTGATATATTTAGCCAAGGGGAGTGCAGTGATCGCATCAGAGTTCAATTCATCATTTTTTTAATCTCTTGGAAACGGCGTTCATTTGATGTGTACAACATATATAGCAAATATTTGGGCACACGCTCATCTTCAGGTTCCAACGGCATTACATCCGACTGATTTTGGCTGGAAAGAGAAGGAGGGAAAATTTCACTTCAAATGGTTCGAAGGTGAGCAGCTTCCCTCTTCACTTGGTGATATAACTATCAATGAGGATCAAACAAGTCCTACAGGTCAGAAATTTTTTGAATATTTTCTCTTTGGTTTAATCTATATTTATAGCAATCTTGTATATCATGTCAACTTTTTTTGATATTCATAATCTGATTTGCATTAAGATTTTGCTCTGAATGTTTTTATATTAATATCATCTATATATTTCAATATATAGTTAATATACAATATATGGTTACAGATGATAACGAAGATATTTCGTGGATCAGCATCAATTGCAGCGATCATGAAAGCGATGATGGGAACGACGACGATGAATCCGAAGGATCCGAAATCTGAAAACATTGTTGATATCTGATTTTGTTACACACACTAGTTCACTATGTCTGTTAATTTGTATTGTTAGTATATTTTTTGTGAAGGAATACTGAAAAAAAAATTGATAGTAAACCTATTTTTAATTATCTTCCTTCAGATCAGAAATGTAATACCTACGTATTTATCATTAAATAAATGCATGCATGTGCGCTGAGTTTGAGAAAACTATAGATACCTGATACCGCAAAAGCTGATATTTGGTGTACCTATAGTTGAAATAATGGGTTAACAAAAAAAACCTCCAGCTCATCATTTTAGTGAGGGCAAAGTATCCAGCTGATGCAGTCAAAGATACGATGCGCCCGAGATATCCATGCGCAGCGTATTTCACTGCATCAGCTGGGCACTTTTCCCCCACCCAATGTAAAGCTGGATGTTCTCATCGTTTATGTTATTAATTTAACTATTTGTTCACCAAATTTCAGCTTTTGCGGTATTAGTTTACTCAGCGCATATTTTTAACTTCTTTACGTGAAAAGCTGGAGCATAATCCCCCAGTATAAGTTCGGCTGGATACGTTTTTTGATCTATTTGTATGATAATCAACATGTTAACAAAGTTTCAGCTTTTGTGATATCAGTTTTTTTTTATTATAATTTTACGTGTTTGGGACGCTGCTGCAACTACACCCCCCGGAAGTGTGCCAGCTGGAGGCTGATTCCCTTACTAGTTATCCCAAATAAAGCTCAGGAAGAATTTTCAGCTTTTGTGAAATGACTAACTCTAAACGGTTGCTGGCTCCCAGGCTATAATGCTATCATCATGAGTATGTTTGGAAATTCTTGAATCATAATTAAAATAATGGGATAAAATAACTGTCCGTCAAATAAATATGACTGCTTGGAGATACCGAATACAATTTATTAATTGGTTTCTCAACAGAGTATATCGATCATAAGTTCGCGAAATACATATATGTATATCACAGCAGCTATATTTGACATTGGCAATAAGTATATGGTGATATAGTTTTTCTACTAAGGGTTGCATGATCCAGCTTTTTCGAAATTTGCTACACTCAATGTCAGGGCTATTATAAGTGACTACCATACCCATACGTTTTGTGAAAGTTGTTATTGTTTTGTTGAATATTTTTTTATCATTATAATTTTGGCACATTCACATCTATAGCATGCAGGGACAACCAGATAGATTGTGGAAACCAGTGCATAGATTTAACATTTCGCTGTGACGGTGTTGACGACTGCGCCGATGGAAGAGATGAAAACGATTGTGGTAAGTATGGGTTACAGCTTCGGAAAATCACTGCAGCTTAATATTGCCAAATAGTATGCTTTCAATGATTATTGCGCTCAATACACGAAGATTTAATGTACCTATTTATATTATTTGATCAGTCTGGTCATTTGGCATAAATACAGTTGGTTGTAAATGTTGTTTGGAAGCCCTAATAGCACATGTCCTAGGAACGTCCATCATCCTCAACTATATTCTTCATTATTACTACGAATCATATGGATGCATCAATGATGTTTCGTACTGTCTTTGAAAACTACATGCTACAACTACAATGCAAATATGGCTCCTGGTTAGATACTTAACAACGTCACACAAATATCTGAAGTGCATCCATTCTGCTAACAAAAAGGTCGAAAGAAGATTATATTCACAACATCAATGTCAGTTACTTCATATAAGTATGTTGTTATAAAATTAATAATCCACATATCAACAAGAAAGCAGAAGATATAAAACTGAAATCGGGTAGTTCAGCCAGTATCTGATAGATAGCGGTGTTTAAGAACTCGCCAAGTGGTACTCTCGATTGCCAAAAGATGGGGTTGCACTTTTCTGCAATCTCTGTTCAGCTACATCTTTTTCAATTTCTTCTGATACAGTACTATTGTTTACTTTCATAATCCACCTTTAAGGCTGTCCGAGGGCTGTCCAGTGAATAACGAATGTCTTACGGTGGATCTTGATAGATATTCGTTGATAATGTTCTTTGGAGATATTCCTATAGGATGTTCCTAAAGAGCATCAATAACTGGTGTAAACAGCTGTGGGTCCCACAGACTTTCCGTGAACCAAATCTGATAATTATTGTGCTATTAGGGTGTTGGTGTATATTTTTTTTTAAAATCCACAATATTTCAGGTACTTGCCCAGAAGATCAATTCCAATGCAGCGACTCCACTTGTATACCGATGGAGAGGAGGTGCGACCACATCTCGGACTGCTCAGACAACTCTGACGAATTCGATTGTCCTTCAACTCCCAGGTGCGCAGCGAACCAATGGACTTGCAGAGATGGCACTTGCATCGACTCGTACCGAAAATGTGACAGAAGACGGGATTGCCCTGACGGATCGGATGAGGAAGACTGTCGTAAGTTCATATTTACGGATACTCAGTTACCACTCTGCATTATTCGACTGGTACCTCAATTAATTCCAATAATTTGTATACCTACGTTGTCTGAAGCTAAATAAACCATCTCCATTGAACTTAATTTCATGTGAGATTGTTATCGACTCATAGATCATCCTCCTCAAGAATCCAGTTCTTTTATTTCCGATTCTCAGATTATACTAAGGACTTAGTCTACCCTCACTTTTTTATCGATCTTGATGACCTTTCTGATTTAACACTAATGTTTTTCGAATTTTGACCCTCTGCCGTTTTTTCTTTTTCATTCTGAATACTTTCTTCATAACATCATCGTTCTCAACATTGTGAAATTTTAAGGTACTATATTACATCTTGAATTTCTGACGGAAAATGGCCAGTTGCCGAAATTGGTTAAAATACTTCACTTGTAATTCTGAGATTTTGAAACTATCCAGAAGTGTCTTGTGAAATAATGAAATTGAAAGCATAAGTGTAAAGATTAAGAATGATAAATCAGTTCACTAGCCCATTACTGAAACTTACTTAAAAAAGTTGCAAAAAGTTTTATATACATTTTCGCCAAGAACAATTTGTCCGATTTGGACGTTTTTCGTTTTAAATGACATGTTATCTCCATCTGTACATTGTTGTGCAAACTGTATTCGCATAAAAACCTCTTTTTTTACATACCCCATCAAGCAAGATTTGAAATTGTTACAAAACAGACTGAAGACTTGATGAGGAGACGGGGACGTAATTGAAGTAACCCAGTACATTTCTTCACCATAAATGATTGTTCAATAATAGTTTTCAACGGTTTAATCAAATATGAATGATTTTCACACTGAAATGAATACAACGATTAGCAGAGCGCTTTCTTTAGTAGAACGAGTTTCTGAATCAATGATATTCGATTGCTTACCTGAAGGCAGGAATATCGTTCATTAATATAATAACAAACAGGATAATACCAGGAAGCTTCCAGTGATGAAAATAATAAATTTGTGAGAATCTTGTGAGCTTGACAATCACTCGTGAACAAGATATTGTTTTGCAAAGGACTTCATTCTACACCATAAGATATTGTTTGTCGTGAAAATAGCCATCAGGCCCACTTCACAACTAATACATGAAAAATCTCTCGGAGATATCAAACTATACAGCATGTTGCATTTGTTATGCTGCAACTTTACACTTTAGCCTTATCTTTTTTCAACATTTCATTTTTGTATTTACAGCATTATCTTTCCTCATGATTTTATGGAAAATTGATATTCAAATATAACAACGAGGAAACGAAACAGAATGCGAAGTCGTAAGTTCAACGAAAAGGTCAGTAGCGAGTATTTCTGCCTCGGGCACGAATATGTTCTTGGCAAAGACGGCTCATAATTAAAATAAGGTGGTCCCAAATTCGAATAAGTCTCTGTCGTACATTCATCTGTAAGGCTTCCATTTATATGATCACAAGTTCTATGCGACCAGTGAAAAAAATGCCTCCCCAGACCATAACTTGCTACTTACGTGCTTATAATGCTAATTGAATTCAATAATATCATGTTATGCTATGAAATTGTGTTTCTGGAGTACCTAATAGGAAAGATAATGGAGTAAATCCAATATTCAGAAGAGATAACCTGTCATTCAAAATGTAAAACGTCCAAACCAGACGAGTAGTTTCGATGAAAATGTATCTCAAAACTTTTGGATACTTTTTGGTCGTGCGATAATTCTGTTAGGAAGTGTGAAAAAACATTTTAGAAAACCATATGATTAGTCGGATTATTAATTTGTTGATCGGGAATCGATGAACTGGCCAGGAAGATCGTCCTCAAGCTATACAGACAGTTTAGAAATAATATTTTCTGGCCTTTTTGGGTCAGGGACATGCGACGGGCCTGATTGGTTCCAGTGTTCCGATGGGACCTGTATTTCGGCTGTGCTGCGGTGCGACAATTTCTATGACTGCAAGGATTTTTCAGACGAGCAAAGCTGTTTCGGTTAGAACATTTTTGTCTGTTGGAAAGTTTATAGGTGTTTTTTTACCATCTCTGTGTGTGTTCTTAGGGTGTGATGGTAGTTGAGTTCTAGTGCCAAAGATTTACGTTCTGTGTGAGAGATAATTTGTACAATCAAGTTTTTAGAAATGCATGGTGACAATGATTGACATAACTATTATCTAGACCGCATATGCCATATTTCAGCAACCCGAAAATCTCATCCAACTTGCTCGCCTAAAAACTCTTCTGTTCGATGTGCAGGAACTCCCCAACTGTCATGTCTGTTGGTTGAAACAAAGTTCGATCTCGTTAATGAAAATGAGCTATGATCTTATGGCATATTAGCGGTCTAGTTAGTGATTTCTGTCGGTGATCGTGACTCAATGATTTGCAATTGTGTTTTCGAACGATGTACAGATTATTTCAATACCCACATTTATTGTTTGTAGTTATTCCCTACATTTTGTATCTATTTGTAGATATATATGCGTAGAGGGCTAATACCTAATATTTTCATCGTAGTAGGTAATTGAGTAATCGATAGAAAATAGAGTAAAAATAGTGTTAGTGATATTGTAACCTAGTGTATATAAAAGTTCAGTTTATACAGATGTATGAATATTTCTGAGTCCTGGAATGATTCATTACTTTTATTCAATAAGATTTTTCAACATATCATTTTTGATTTTGATATATTCTACTCCCCCTGATAGGTCCAGGGTTTCCACAAACTATAAAAATGGGAGAGGGAATTACCCTCACTCACCAAGATTTTTCGGTTTCAAAATGTTAAAGATAATGTCCCAATATAAAACGCGGTTCAATCTTGATTTTGATAAGTTTTTATTCTTTTGTGAAACCAGCTACATTAAATTTATTGAAAGTGACGCGATATCTAGAAGTTTTCTAGGAAACCGAGCCCAAAATAAAAACTAAAAATATCTGCTTAAGAAGAAGAATTAAATAAAAATAGATAACCATATGGTATTATAACGAAAAATGGGGATCAAAAATACTAATTTCAGCACTAACCACCTCAGCGAGCAATTTCTCTGATTTTCGAAAAGTGTCAAATATGGAAATTTGAATCTTACCGAAATTATTAACCGAAGATGTTCTGTTCTTACAATCAGCTGAAGAAGGTAACTTTTAGATCTCTTCTGTACTCCATACCATTGTGAATAATGTATTTATGCACGACTGGGCGTACAGTAGCACCTCAGCACCCTTGGGCGGACATCAAAGAGGTTCGAAGGGCGTTCAAGCAATATATCACTTGCTTTTCAATAATATCAATGGATTTAAAATCATCAATGAATTTTGACAGTGAATGCATGTCTAAAACGGTTGTGCATAATTTTTTGTATACATATATCTCAGGCAAAAATAGTTATTTATTATACAAGGGAAAAAAGTAGTAGATTTTAGCTCCAGGTTGTGTTGTCTCCCGACGCGTAGCGGAGGGAGACAAAAAACCGTGAGCTAAAATCTAATATTTTTCCCGTGTACAATACACTATTTTTTCTGTGACAGAAGAAAGGACGAATCAATATTGGGAAGATATTACATTATTTTGAAATCTGAAAATTATCGACGTGAAATTTCAATTTTTTAACAGTAGGGACACCTGCGTTGTAGGCATCTTTATGATTCTTTTGAAGTAATGGAATACCTGATGTCACTTCTATCAGTCTAATTCTGTGATTCGATTTCAAAAAATTGCGAATTTAGTGGTTGTTTAGTAATATACGTAACCGCGAAGTCGAATGGAAGATAAAAGGACTCGCAGTTCTTTCTCGGAGACGGTATTATTGATTCATTTTTCGGAACTATAGCACAACAAGAACCATCAACACTTACGTGATATATATCCGGGAAAAAAGAACTCACTTTTTTCCCACGGGAAAAAAGTTATTTATGAAAAGTGACATTTTATAACCAGCCAACAGAGATGAAATGCCAAACTTTTTTCCCGTCACAGAAAATAAACGTTTGATATACCTCGGTTTGCTTGGTTAATCACCTATAGCTGCGATCCATAAACGTCCTTGAGACATAAATAATTGTTTTATCGAACTTGCTGGTGATAGGAGAAATTATTTAGAGAAATTGACGAAGATTGCTATCCGACAGTTGACAATAGTTTAGTCAACTGTTATAAAAAGTTGTAACAATCATCATTCGACTATGTCAAATCTACCTAACAAATATCCTCATGAGATCACAGACAATACGATTTTTCAATCTATGTTCCCTAACTTCCTGGGATTCCGGATTTTGCTTGGCCAGTGGGAATCCACAGTTTCATGCACCACATTGATTTTATTATATTTTTTGGCAAGCATGTGAATTATAGTTTCAGGTTCCATCACAATACACATATTATATTATTATTATATAATTTTTATTATTTAGTTGTACATATGATTTATTTTATTTTTGTTTTCTTTAATTTCCTATTATAGCTTCTTGTCCCATTGGTCAGTTCCAATGTTTAGATGATAATAGATGTATAGACGATAACTTGCGTTGTGACAGAAGAAATGATTGTTATGATGGCTCTGACGAATACAATTGCCCCACTGAAGCCCCTACTCTTCCACCAGAGACCAGTAGACCAAGAATCTGCCCAGAAAATTATCAGCCCTGTCAAAATATGAACCAGTGCATAAGATACGATCAGTTGTGTGATGGCAATGTGGATTGTGGAGACTTCAGCGATGAAAGCGGTTGCGGTATGTAGATTTTGGTATACAGGGTCTCTTTAAAATGATCGTAACATCATAGTGACCATTGAAATAGTTCATTGATTTGCCGCTTTCCACTCATGGAAATCGAACTATAACATATTCGGTCGCTGCAATGCCTTTAAACAACATAAGCAGAGAGCGGCACTATTTCAACGCTCTGTATAATATCTAATACAAGGCTATTAGCGCTATAACTCCTTACACGGTTTGGAAATCCTCCCTAAGTACATAATAAGGATACCTTTTCGTGCGCTTCAAAGATAAAAAGAATTCAAAAATGAGTTTCTATTATAAACAGATGTTTCTTGGGGTAATATAAACAATCAACCAATTAATCGAAATGAGTTCAGGTTCCTTTACTTATGAAGAAATCAAAGTTCTGAAAACAATATAGGCAAAACGGAAAAATCAAAAATATTTTCAAGTCATTGTAGTGTATCTGTGAGATTAGATTAGAATAGATATTTCGTTAGTAGTAGAAAAATAGAAAAATAGAATATTCCATTGAAATAAATGGATTTGTGGTTTTCCACGGTTTGAACTTGTTTTTTTTTTTTCATTAGTAAAGGAATATAGAGGTGGATCGAAAACACAAACATTCCCTCCTATTAACAAATGACAACAAAAAGAAATGTCTTCAGGAATGTATTCTCTGTCAATGCCATCTCCTTAACGCAACTTCATAGTACTTATTCATTATCGAAAACCTCAATATAATAAAATAATTTTGTTTATTCACAGCTAGTTCTTCGGATGGTCTGCAGTTGAGAACTTACCCTACTGCTACTGATGAAAAAGAACGTAAGTATCTACCTATCTGATAGTGTTTGAGGTGTTTGTATATGTATAAAATGAACCCTTGGAAAAAAACTTGAGTCTATAGTGTTAACAAATATTTAAATAGCATTCTATAATCTCTTCATACAAGTTGAAGAATTGTTTTCGTGGCCATTGATTTTATAGTAGGTTTTCCTTAGTTTTAGACATTAAAACCAATCTGCGTATTCAAGTAATTCTGTTGTGATACAAAATATTTCTTTGAAACAGTTATTGAGATAACTCGGCTAGAGTTCCTTAATACATTCATCGTCAAATCCATCAAGGAACTTCAACTCGGTTTTCCTATTCAATAGATTGAAAGCAAAATTTCGAGGAAAAAAGTCTTTAGCAAGATATTGAAGGAAATAAAAGGAGTACATCTTTTTAGATGGTTATAATATTTATTATATCCTGAATTAGGGTACAGTTGGGTGCATAAATCAGTCTTACAGCAGTTACAGGCTATTGTGAGTCAGGCTTGTCAATTTTGATTAATCTTCTTAATCGACTTTGACAAATAGTGTCAAAATTCAAACTATTTTGTCAGTAATGCGCAAATGTGTACGTCTACTACTTTTTAATGAAATCTGGAACATCATAGGCAGGTTTACACACAACTGTACATGTTTTTTTTTTATGTTTTTCTTAGTTTCAGCCATTATAAGAAATCTGTTCATTCAAGTAATTCTGTTGTGTTATAAGAAATATACATATTCGAAACAGTTATTGAGATAAGTTATAACCGAGTTACCTCATTCAAAATTTCAGAAAATAATGAAATTGAGGATCAGCAATTTTTTTTTTAAGCCACCGATTTGTTTTGCTCAAGTTGTTAATATTATGACTATTAATATACATGGTGTTAGTGAAGAAGTGCGACAAATTCCAGGGGGTGATCACTTTTGATATTTTAGGAATGAAGTTCATATAAACATGTGCCCTAACTTGCTTCGTTTTTGATATACAGGATGTTGAAGTTGAAAGTATTGTTTTCATTTATAACGTCCTTGTATAAGCTTTCATGGTGCCAAAATTCAATATGGAGACTGAAAAAGTCCCAAAATTTCAAAATGATTCTTATTGAGGTTATTTAGTGATCTCAATGAATGTTACGAGAGAACCTACATTAAAATTTGGAGTCAAATCGAATTCATATAGTTTCCTCGAATACCAAGCAAGATTTAAAAAAACACAGAGGATAAAATAGTTGATATTTCAATTGTTCAATCTAATGAAAATATGGAATACAGGAAAACCAGTGGCGTACAATGATATTAACGTCGATAAATTAACCCACTGTGACGCCACTGGAAATATTATTTCGAATTCAATCACATCAAAAAAAGCTCCAGTTACATTCAACGAAACCACCAAGTTTCATTGAAATTGGTAAAAAGACATTTGAGTAATGATTCAAATAACGATTTTTCAAGGAAATGTTAATACCCTGTATCTCGAAAACAAAGCAAGTTAGGATACCTGTTTATATGAACGGTATTTTCTGAACTATCACAAGGAATCAACGCCTGAAGTATGTCACACTTATTCACTAACACCCTGTATATCAATGATAATCTATATTCGTTAAAATTATGTAGTCATCCTTTCGAGAATATTTTGTTGAATCATTCAAAAAAACCTCATATATTCATTTTGTCACGTGTTACAAATTAACTAATGTTTTGTGTTTTTGTGTATTTGCCGTGCAGACGCTTATAAGACTGGTGAGTAGAAGTAACCGGGAAGGTGTGAAGATTTTGCGTATCAATCATTTTTCATTTAATTCCTTCATGCCATTTTTACTACCCTATCATCTCGGTTATGTATTGATACCAGCTTATCACAGAAATATAAACTCTGATAAACAGAAGCGTGCTCTGCAGTTTCGCTCATATTTCATGAGGTGCCTTTTGACTTCCTAATGGTGTTAGCTCTATCATGACTGCATAAAATGATCCGAAAACTGATTTGAACATATTCAAAAACCATGGATCAGTTCCACTTATTGTATAAATTTATATAACATCCCTCATCATGCCGTTTTTATACTGATATTGTATATAATCGTGCTTATTTCGAAGGACATCACAACTCAGTTGAGGAAACTCTCCAACTTAACCTGGTTCGCATGGATTTTAATTACAAATTATGAATACCACGTTCTAAAATGATGTATTTGCTGATGTAGGACAAGAGGTAGTATTGGTATGCAGAGACGAAGGATCAATAAGGGCTCCAGTATACTGGACTAGGCCAAATGGTGAACCACTCCCAGTTGGCTCTACTGATAATTCCGGACGTCTCACCATTCCGAGTATTCTTATGGAACATGCTGGCATATACATCTGTCAAGCTAGAGGATACCCTCCAAACGCACCCGGAGCTCAAGTATCTGTTCCAGTGAAAGTATCCAGAAGTGAGTCAATCAACCAAACCCTCTCAGTATTAATACAGGCTGATTTATCTAAATTGCGAATGAAAGAACAAAGCGTTATCACAGTAGATGTTACTGAGAGTATTGTCACAGGTATTGTTATATCGCTGTATCAATATTTTTATAAAAATTAATATTTTTATCATCCTTTTCTGATCTCCTCTTGGGAAGACAAATTCTTCGCAAATTCAGGTAAATCACTCAGCACAAGAAACAAGCATTTCAATTATTCTGAACATGCAGCAAGGATGAAGGAAACCAAAAATTTCTTGTCTTCGAAATTTGGAGGCATAACTCATAATCACCATGGAACAGGTATAAATCAATCAGTTTATAGACGTTATTTCATACCTAATTTTTTTCTATTTCATCCTCCTCTCTGTGTGTGATTTGTGGTGAGTTGAATAATGAAATTAGGATAGTAATTATCAGTCATAAGATTAAAAATCCTCCTAGTCAAACTTGATCCAATTATATTTTGCCTATAAACAACCAGATAACCTGATACTTATAGCATGAGTAAGTTATGCTGGAAATAAGCACAGAAAAAACCGTAGAAAATAATTCTTGTCAAACTCATAAGAATGCATCATCCTACTAAACAAATCAAAGTAATCAGAACCAAAAGCAGTTAACAATTTCAATCCCAATCCGGTGGATAGATTATTCAATTTTGAACACTCATCACTAGTCTTTGTTTAAAGATGTTTCTGAGAACTATTCTAAGAGAATCTACCTATACAAGGTAGTCCTTTCAAAGGAAGCCCTTTATTTTCCTTCACTTGATATTGAGAAGCAGAAAGAATCTACAACTTTTATTTTGAGAGATGAAATTTCATAATATATTTCATGTAAAACAACATGAGGAAGTGAGAAAGTTCAATTTCATGAACGATGAATACTTATGATACTATTTTCTGACCTTGAGATCCGTTTCGAGACTTGCAGAGTCAATCAAGGTTTAGTATATTGCAATGACTCTGGAAAAAAACAAATAATAGAAAATGAAGCAGCTTTGACCTTTTTTCCTGAAAGGCATAATCTTCAAGTTGAACGAACCACCCTGCTCAACTTTGTACTTGTATATTATGCTATTTCTTAAGACTGAACTTTTCATTAGTGGACACTGCTGATATTAGTGATCCCTATACGCATGAAACTGGTATATTGTACTGTTACCGCACTCACACAATATCTCCCATATCAACAACTATTATTATTCTGTCTATAGGGGAACCACGACCTACTCGACCTCCACCACCAGTGTGCCGTGTTGATGAAGCAACTTGTTCCAACGGTGAATGCATCCCTAGAAACAGACTCCGTGATGGACACATCGACTGCTCTGATGGCTCTGACGAGGATGGTTTCTGTAAGCACTTCATTTCCATTCGAATATCGCCGGTAATATTTTTTTTCTAGCACCTACTGGTAAATGCGAACCCAATGAGTTCCAATGTGATAACAAAAAATGCATCCTGAAAACGTGGAAGTGCGATTCTGACGATGACTGTGGGGACGGTTCTGATGAAAAGAACTGCGGCACAAGTCCACCTGGATCAATATGCAAGTACCACGAATTCGCTTGTCATTCCAAAAACCAGTGCATTCCGAAAAGTTACCACTGCGACATGCAGAAAGATTGCGTCGATGGTAGCGACGAAATAGGCTGCTGTGAGTATAATAACAGACATAAAATTTGAGGTGTTTAAAATCGTGTATCCTGTTACAGCTAAACCTGTGATATCCGAGCCTCCACCACCAGTAGTTCGACTCCAAGTCGGGGAAACATTCGAGATAACTTGTAGGGCTGTAGGAATCCCAACTCCCGAGATTGTCTGGCGTCTCAACTGGGGACACGTTCCCGCCAAATGCCGAATGACCAGTGTCAATGGTTTCGGCACACTCGTTTGCGAAAATATCGAAGTCAGGGACCAAGGCGCCTACTCTTGCGAATCCATCAACATCAGAGGCGCTACCTTCGCTGTTCCCGACACTATATTGACTGTAGAGACCGACGATGTCTGCAGGCCTGGCTTCTTCAATGTTCAAGCGAGAAGCGAAAGCGAGTGTATCAAATGTTTCTGTTTCGGTCAAACCAGCACCTGCAAATCCGCCGATCTCTTCATATTCCAGATCAATCCGCCTTTCGATGCACTCAAACTTCTAGGCGTTCGGATCGATCCATCGAATGGAGTAGTGGATATTAGAGACGAGCCTATCTACAGGGGATCACAGCCGGTTCTGAGCCAAGTCGGACCGCAAGGAGTGCAAGCTGTCATCGCGGATTATGGCGGGCAACTGAGTCAATCGAATGTGATACCGTACTTTGCGATGCCCGAGAACTACCATGGGAATCAACTGAAGAGTTATGGAGGTGATTTGAAATACAACGTCAGGCATTCCAACAGAGGATATCCGCTGCCCGGTCCAGGTGTCATCATTTCTGTAAGATTTCCAAATAAGAGTTGTAATCGCTCTCACTATTTATTTCTTTTCATAGGGCAACGGGTACATTCTTCAGCATCAATCTTCTTATCAACCTGCACCAAACACCAATGAGAATATCAGGGTGAGGTTCTTTGAAGGCGAATGGATAAGGAAATCGCCTGGGGCTCCAGAACGTATCGCCACAAGGGAAGAGATCATGATGGTCCTGGAAGATGTCGATAACATTCTGATCAAACTTCAGTACAACGAAGGTGCACTCAATACTACAATCACCAATATTGAGATGGACTCTGCAGGATATCCAGATAGTGGTCTCGGCTCTGCCAGCTACGTGGAGGAGTGTACCTGCCCTGCTGGATATACGGGAAGTTCTTGTGAGGTAATCCAATTTCCTTTCGTTTTTCAACTTGGTGCTATGCTAATACAATTCTTCCAGAGATGCGAGGCAGGATATGCTCGTCAGAAGAATGGTCCATGGTTGGGACAATGTTATAGAGAACCGGTGTCATGTCCACCTGGAATGTACAATGATGGAAGAGAATGCCAGATTTGTCCATGTCCGTCAACAGATCCGAGCAATCAGTGAGTTTTCATATTCAAACATTTATTAAATACTGTATGTAGGTCAGTCGAGTCGAGAGTCCAAGGGATGAAATGTTTTCTTCTCCAGTTTTTTTATTTCCTCTTTCCGTTTCAATAAATGAAAGTGAGAGTATCATTTCATTACATTTGTAGTATGGACAAATCATATGATACATTTGTAGTAAGGACAAATCTGATCAAATACTCAAGAGTCTCAAGAAGTCTGGATATTACTAAAATGTAATCAACAGGTACTCACTTATCCAGTGTACACTAGTCTCATCTAGTTGTCTACCCCTCGAAAAAAATGTTCCTTGTATTTTACAAATGGTTTCAATGTATGTTTAGAATCATGGAAATACACCAAGTCGCAAAATGAAGGTCTACCTATTTTTGAGTTACTGTTTTGCATTCTTTCGGATTTTTTTAATATCCATGGTATTTCCTTCGCCCCCTTATTGAAATTCTTGACGATGGAGGGCTTTTATCATTCTCGATCTTTCATAATGAAACAACTGATCAAATTACCTCCAGTCACTTGTCGCTTCTTGAGCTTTTCATGTGGTAAAGTATTATAGTTCTTCTAATATTAATAGAAAGATATGTAAATATCACAAGAACTGATTCTCATTTTGTCGAACGATAACAGTAGCAGGGCTCTGCAAACAAATGTTCTCATGTTAGACCTCATGTTTCTTATTGAATAATCAAATGAGAAGATAAAATAAGCAATCTATTCCTGCACACACTGTATGTGATTCGTCCGTCTGCCTCATCTATCAATAGCTAGAGAAAAATAGATTAATCCTTATCAACAGGAAGGACTGAACTCTATTAGATTTCAGTTATTTTCATTATAAACAATGAATATGTCGCCGATTTTTTTCACTCCTCTTTCACTTCAGATTTGGCAGAACTTGCAGCCTTGGACCAGATCTATCCTAGCTATCAATAGCAAGAGACAAATAAATTAATCTTTATCAACAGGAAGGACTGAACTCTATTAGATTCCAGTTATTTTCATTATAAACAATGAATATGTCACCGATTTTTTTACTTCTCTTTCACTTCAGATTTGGCAGAACTTGCAGCCTTGGACCAGATGGTGATGTAGTATGTAATTGTCCTCCTGGATACGTTGGCAATCGCTGCCAACAATGTGCGCCAGGTTACGTCGGTAATCCACTGATACCTGGTGACTCTTGTAGACCACAACCACGACCAGAACCAGAACCATATTGTGATCCAGAAGGATCTTTGGACGTTAGACAGGACCCTTACGGAAGATGCAGATGCAAGGTAAGAAATATCATATGTGATCTATTAAATCATCATCATCTGGTGAATATCTTCATCTAAAAATGTCGACACAATAGCAACCAAAATCAATGTATTGTCATATTTCATGCCTCATTTGAACACTGACATTCGGTGAGTCTAACATATGGACTTGGGTGTACAAGAAATTAATATTGTGACTGATTATTTTTATTTCCAGAACTTGGTTGATGGTCCACAATGTAACCAATGCAAGGCTGAAACATTCTACTTGAGTAGAAAAAACCAATTTGGCTGCATTGCTTGCTTCTGTATGGGAGTTTCCAAACAGTGCTCAAGCTCAAACTGGTACAGAGACCAAGTAAGATATTGCCTTCAAATTATTAATCATTATATTCTATAATGAATATCATTTCTAGGTGAAGAGTGTATTTTTATCGTCCATGCAAGATTTCAGAATCGTTGAAAATTTGAATAGAGAGGAACTGATCACTGAAGGGATCAGGCTCAACCAACAGAATCGTGAGATTTCTTACAGCCAATTCACATCACCAAATGCTTACTATTGGGCTTTACCTTCAAGATACTTGGGCAACAAGTTGACGTCTTATGGAGGGTCTCTCAGTTACACAATCAGACACACTCCCAGTCCTGGTGGCCAAAGTTCCAGGAATAACGCTGCAGATGTGGAACTAGTCAGCGTGAGTAGAATATATAACCAAAATATATGTATTCAATAAACTACAAATACAAACAGAAGAAATCAAGGGTTACCCTATGGAATTAATAAAAAACATAGTGAATATGTATACTGTGTTGATTTGAATTGATATTGTTTTTTTTTCGACAGAGGAACAACATCAACCTTCTGTTCTACAACCGCAACCAATCTCAAATTACGAACGCCCCACAAACATTTGTCGTGCCTATTATGGAGCAAGTATGGCAACGAACTGATGGACAACAAGCTGATAGAGAACATCTCCTCATGGTTCTAGCAGACCTGGAAGCAATCTACATTAAAGCAACATATTTCACAAATACCAAAGAATCATCGTAAGTTTTTTTTGTGTTCACTTTTGATTGAAAATTGTTGTTGTTAAGGTTGTCTATACAAATTACCGGTACATTCTTGAATACAAATTGGAAATATTTTTGTAAAAAACTTCCAAAATTTTCAATCACAAGACATGTTTCGCTACCACAATAGCTTCTTCAGGCGAAATACTGGTATAATAAACTGAACTCACATTGACTTATTTTTTAATGCCTTAGAATGGTTGATACCATATTGAATTCACCACTTCCTAAACTACGGAATCCAGGTATTGAAAAGTTCTTTTCAAAAGAGGAAGAAAACGATTTTGCATATTTTTTAAAATGTTGACAATATGTAAGACAAATGTCACAAACCGTTCTGAATAAAACTATGGATATTTGCGAAAGGGAATAAGATGAGATCATGGCAAGATCAAAGTACAAAAAGTGTTCGTAAACCAGAAGGTTATGATTGGGATGCTGCATTGCTCTTCTCTACGAAATCCAAATTAGCAGATATCAATGGGGAAATATTCATGAAATGGGTGGAAGAGAAATTGATACTCAATCTAGAGGAACCATCTTCAATTTTAATGGACAATGCACCCTATCTGATAAAATTTTTAGAACAGTCCAATATAACATTCAATAGAAATTCGTTCTGATATTCGTTCTGAAATTCGTTCTGATACATGTTTTTGCCTTCAATAAATTGACGAATTAAAGAGTTGAAACTTGAAATATATACCAATCCAATGTTTTATTGAATGTTCCTTAGTCAAATTTACCTTGAGTAGTGAATAAAAAATGTCTGAATATTATTATTCATTTTAACCCAATTTCTGAAAAAGCATGGCACTGCTTCACTGAAACATATGACCTATTGATTTGATTCGTTTTTCGAAGTTGTGACGTACTCGCAAAGACATATTATACAGACTGTATTTCACCCTTTTCAGTCTCATCTCCGTTTCGCTCGACATCGCCAACGAACGCAACACCGGATCCCTCGAAAGAGCCCTGGAAGTGGAACAATGCCACTGCCCCACCAACTACACCGGCCTGTCTTGTGAGGACTGCGACGTCGGCTACACAAGGACCCCCAACGGCCTCTATCTGGGCCTGTGCGAAAGGTGCGAGATAGATATGTATAGCAATTCAGATGGTGTTATCACTTCCTATCGGAAGAAGTTTCGAAATCTCTCCTACTTTGTAGAAATGGCGAGGCATGGGAGAATCTTGCTGAATTAAAGAAGTTTCAAACCAAATTTACAGGCACTACGACAGATTCATTTGACATTGAATTTTAATTTTTTATAATTTTTGGTGGGACTGAGTACGGTCAGGGCCTATTCTATCTCACCGGGCCGTAGTCTATCTCCTCTCTCTCGACGCTGACGTCACACTAGTAGGTTGAAATTTCACATCAGTTCGTACTGGTGCGTTCGTAATTGATTGGCTATATCTCATTTACTATACATTTCAGAAGCACACTCAATCGAGACGAAATGATCCCAAACGAATTCCCCATGTTTTGGTGAAAAAATGAATCCAATAGGATGAATCAATACCGAGTTATGACGTTGTAAAGAAATTCCATTTTATTGAAAACAGGACGTTGTACTACTGAATACTATTTTTTGCAAAGTTGGAATCGAAATAAGATGAAACTAACTCAGTACATCAAACTAGGATAATGCATCAATTGAATAGTGAAAAAGTTGTAGGGTCACCTACAATGAGTCCGAAAGAAATTGAATATAAAGAGCGCGTAAAAAATGGGCCATTATTCCTACCTATACCCAAATTTCGCTGTATTACGATTTCGCGGTAATTCCTTGGACTGGTAAAGGGCGATATACTTTTTATTAGTCATTTTATTTCTGAATCGCGTATGGTTCAGACGTACCAATATTGGTGTCTGAAAAATTCGAAACAATATTCCTACAATGTAAGTCACAACATAAAGTTTTGGAGAATTTAGCAGAAATTTAAATCAATTCCCTTCTCAATTATTCCGTGAATCAATGTTACAGTTGTGGGTCTTTTGATGAAATCATCAGAACATTTTCTAGAACCATTTCAAGTTATTATAATTTAGTTTGTGATTTAGATGTATATATAATTTTTGTTTTTAGTGCATTCCATTTTGTGACATCTATCAATTTTATTTTTATTTTGTTATGTTGATTATTTTCACAGCATATTTTGTTTGGTTTTGTTTGTATATAAGAATTCAACGTTTTTTTTTATTTTTTCCTTATTCATTCATATATCGTTGTTCTGTTTTTTTTGTTATTCAGTTTGTTGTATTCATTTTCATATCTCTCATTGTTGAAATACATACTTCTTCAATTATTTTTGTTTGGTTGTGTTCATATGAACTCCACATATTTTGTTCTTTTTAATTTTGATAGTTTGGAAATATATCCAAAACAATTTTTTTTATGAATTCAACGTTATTGTTCAAATATATACTCTTCAGCAGGAAATAATTAATACCGAATAGGCGTTTTCGTGTAATAACACACTCGAGTGCTAGGATTTCTAACGTCATCAAAGTGCGCCCTGATCATCTTTAGACATAAACGCTGCTAAAACCCTTCGAGATAAAGTGACAGCATATATTCACAGTTGATAGGATTAGCATGGGAGGCGTCCGAACTGTTTGAACTATTCTGTAATGAACACCTGAATCATCGTTCTAATTGAATTGAAATATCGGTTCGTTATTGGCCCTTGGGTATTTGAAAACAAAACTTAGTCAATCTAGACTCTATGAGGAATCTTTTCATGATTGAATCATTTCTGCTGATTTTAAAAAAGGTAAATTGAAAATGCACATTATTAGTCGTTAGCCAAGATGATATTTGTTTCTAATCATTTTTAATATCATTATTGATACCGTTAGAATCTTTTGAAGTATAGATTATTGTTGAATCATCTGCAAATAATTTTAGTTTTCCTTTTAAAGTAGATATTGGGTTGATGTAAGTTAAAAATGAAATTGGCCCCAAAACTGACCCTTGCGGTACACCACATGTAATATTCATCAAATAACTACAAGTAATGTATGTATGTACTATAACCATCTCAGGTGCGAGTGCAACGGCTACTCCGACGACTGTGATCCCGAGAGCGGCGTCTGCGTCAACTGCAGGGGCGGCACCACGGGCGACTATTGCGATGAGTGCCAGCCCGGATACGTGGGCGACCCGGCCAATGGCGTGCCGTGCACGTACCGAGGTGGGCCGACGCCCGCGTGCCACTGCGATCCGAGAGGCTCGTTATCGTTCGAGTGCCGGGACGGCAGGTCAGTGTTGTCGGCTTTTCACCATATTATACATGGCGCCGACCAAAATTATACATAATTATAGACATCCAATTTGGGAATATGCAAATTTTATACACCAACGATTCCGATCAATTTTTGTTCGAGATGTTATTATACATATTTTCATTCAGAATTTCGATAAACAGTGCTGATATTGCTGATAATAAACTTAGATTATTTGAGATATATCAGAAGATGAGGAGTTTCCTCACAAAACATTTCCATACCTAAGATGCGAATTGAAGAATGCGTAATATGCTGTCAAGAGAATCTTAGAACTTACTATAGATCTCAACTGTCGAAGCAGAAATATATGCTTTGAGAGTTTGGAACATAAGTCATCAATATGATTGTGCCACTTTAGGTTATCATCTATTGTGATTCTTAATAGATGTACTTTATCACCTTTTTTAATTTTACTGTTGGGTGAAAAAATCTAATTATCTCTGTTAAGTTTCAAAAGATTTCCCCACTTTTCTGCTTGGTTTTCTACATATTTCATGGATGTAATTAGGTTTTGACAGTTTTTGTCAGAGCATATTAGTGTACTATCATCTGCATGAACGACACATTTGTTTGGTAACGTATGATAGAAAAAATCATTGATGTAAATGATGAAAAGAAGAGGCCCCAGAACAGAGCCTTGGGGTACTCCAGATTTTATCAACTCAAATCCAGATGCTTCGTTGCTGTTAAGGCAAACGTAATGCTTCCGATTATGAAGGTAAGACTGGAAGAGAGAAAGTGCAATTCCTCTGATACCGTAATCACAAAGCTTTTTCATGAGAATATCGTGAGAGACACAGTCAAAGGCTTTGGTCAGGTTGCAGAAAGTGACTGCAGTTAGCTGCCCCTTCTCATAATAACCATTATAGAAAAAACTTGGCAGATTACATTTATATTATAACAAAGAATGATAGACTCAACCACCTGAACCTATTATTCTTTGATTATAATATAAATGTCATTTGCCACTTGCATAAGGTCTGACAATTGACAAAATTAAGAGCAGGTCATCGGCAGTGGCTTTATCAGATATATAAGTATTACTAGAATGAGTGTACATTAATGTTCATTCATAACCAGTATGCTTTCTGCAGATTACACATACAATTATACATGAAATTGAATGATACATACAATGACGAAGACCACTGAGGGATGGAATCCGTCCAAACCTCTTTCAATCGATGAATCATGATTTATATTTGATGTACAGTCAGTATTATGAGTTGGAGGGAATCGAATCTATAGCTTCCTGAAATCAGCATATTCCATTGAATATTTCAAAACATCAGATATGAAGGTGGAGCCGTGACGGAAAATAGGCGTGTTGGGATTGGGACTAATACGTCACACCAGTCACACCAATGAATTTTGACACCATTTCAAATGGCGCAGAAAGTGTGTGTTTTGTAATGAACATATTTTAATTTATTATTTTTATCGTCCTAATATTGATGTAAAAATTCAATTTATATATATATTTTCCGGTATTTTATTGCTGTAGAGCTCACGATGATGTCGTTTCAAAAAATCAGTGGTCTCCCTCGTTATACACAGACCTCCAAATTACACATAGTTTCTATAATTATACATCAAACGGCAACACTGCATAGGTGTTCGTGCAAGGCCAACGTGGAGGGCGACAATTGCGACCGGTGCCGTTCGGGCACTTTCGGACTGAATTCGAGCTTCATCGAGGGTTGCGAGGTATGTTTCTGTTCTGGGATCGCGTCGGAATGTGGCGAGAGCAATCTCTACATCGAGCAGATTCCCATACAGATTGTCGAGGAGCAACATGGGTTCACGTTGACAGACCAGTAAGTTTTTATTAAGGACCAATCTCAAGCGATTCAGGATCTCGCTTCGCCCAAATGGACTGCTAATCGCCTATATCAACTATGTGTTAAAAATAAGGCAATATTAAACGAAGAGGGCAATATATCTGCATCTCTCAGAGAGGAAAAGATCGTTACTGCGCATGTCAGCATTTCACGGTTGAATAAGGCCGGAATTTTAAAGTTCTAGAGCCCCAATCACTCAACTTCACTAAAGAAAAAACGGATATGTGGTATTTGTGGGTCAATGATAAGAGCAATGAGGACTGAGGTAGCTGATGATGAGCAAATTTAATGTCACAATGTAGATTATTCATTAAAAACAATTGAAAACAAAGAATAATTTGAATCGAGTACATTGAAACGGAAGCTATCCGTGTGAATGAAAACACTATTTAGCGAAAAAGCAAATCAACTAGGTACATTTGGAATGAACGTCACTTGTCACTTGACAAACACCTCACATTCTTCTAGTCTACAGAAGTCAATCCACTGCGTCTTAGCAGCCTAGTTGTTAGAAAAACCTAAAAGATCTTCCTATATGAAAGGGTATGTCTTTTCCAGTTCCTACAGAATAATGTTTGCGAAGTATGCAGCAGCATATTGCAGCTTGTAATCCTGTTATCAGCTGTATTGAGGCAACGATAACTCACCCATTTCTGATTTAGGATACGGTTAAACGTTCTAGTCTATGGTTCAAGCAGGGAAAATCAAAATTTGAGTTAAAAAACGGCATAAAACATCCAACTGCTTTGAATTTCGAAACAAATATTTTCTTGATAGATATCATTCAAGTGCCATAAGATGACGTTCGAACTTTGGAATTGCCATTGCGAGCGCATGCGTCGTTACAATTTTTGCCTTAGTATTGGGATATTGCGGATATTTTTTACCCTTCACAATTTTGGCGTGTTTTTGCGTTTACTACTTGTCCATATGAGCCAAGCGTGATCCTATATATGGTCTAATCTAAGGGATCAACTCATCATGATACTTGTGAATTTAAAAATGTGAATTTAAAATTAGTTCCACCTCAACCACTGAAATCACCTACTGTCATTTTGGGACACTCTGAATAAGTTCTTCGTTTCATCATAGATATCATCGCACGCGGATTTCTGACACTTTCAAGATCAACATGTTCATGAACGAGATCAGCTACAACTTCCGGCCAAGCGAGAGTGAAACACTCTACTGGTCCTTGCCGCACATCTTCACCGGAAATCAGATCAAATCGTATGGCGGCAAGCTCGAATACACTCAAAGATACACCCAGAGGCCACAAGCTGCTTACGTACCGGACAAAGATGTCATCGTCACCGGCAACGGTATCACCATCTTCTGGACCAACCCAGAAAAGCAAAGAGAAGAAGTTGTGAATGTACGTACTGGTTTCATCTCAATTTAATTATCATGAAAATGTGTTTGTTATTTGCCCTAAGCAAAGATTATCAATGATTGAGAGTGTCTTTGGTGAAATTAATGCAGTTAAGCTCAGCACTTTGAGAAGTTGAAGTGTTACAGAATTTTGTTCTGACAGAAGACTGGCGAATAGATCCAATATTCAAACGCATAGTTTTAATCTACATTTTTTTGAAGTTTCCACTTTTAGTTTCTATAAATAAAAATATGAGTACTACAAAATTTCCCTTTCAGAAACCAGAATGAAAATTAGTATGCAGTAGATTTTAGTTCTAGGTTGTGTTGACGCGTAGCGGAGGGAGACAAAAAAACCGTGAGCCAAAATCTAATATTTTTCCTGTGTATAATACACTATTTTTTTCTGTGACAGGAAAAAAGACGAATCAATATTGAGAAGATATTACATTATATTAAAATCAGAAAATTATCGACGTGAAATTTGGAGTTTCAACAAGAATGACACCTGCGTTGCAGGCATCTTTTTGCAAGCATCTTTATCATTCTTTTGGAGTAATCAAATACCTGTCAGTATAATTCTGTGATTTGATTTTTAAAAATTGCGAATTTGGTGGTTGTGTTATTGGCTATAGCCATCAACAATAGCAATATTCTTTTTACCTTGTTACGTTCTCACTACTGAGATCAACTGAGTTAGAAGGAGGTGAGACGGATCTGAGTTGTCGATTGAATAAAAAAAAACAGGTTTAGATCTGTCAGGAAGGGCGAGTGAAGAAAACATAACCCAACATAATTCGACCAAAATGTGAAATTGCTGAGGAAATTAATGAGGAACATAAAAATATTTTTGTAGTGAGTATTCAAAGGATGCAACCTGTGGACTAAAACTTCAAAGCTGAAAGCATGTCAAAATGAAAATATAACCTCACAATTTTCAGCACAGAACCACAGAATCACTAGAATTAATACAGTCTCACATCTTTCTACTACAACACCAGATGAATAGCAAGCTCAGTTGGGGCGAGGGGAAAGGAATTGTCTCAATAAGTTTTTGAGACAACTCACATCAGACTTAGATAAATGAAACATGTAATACAACTGAGCCATTGAGCTCCACTGAGAATCTTGGTTAATCTCAGTCAAAGTTGGTAAAATGAATATTACTAATGTATATTTATGTGATATATATCGAAACAAGTACTCACTTGTTTTCCGTTGGAAAAAAGTAATTTATGGCAAGTGACATTTTATAACCTGTCAACAGAAATGAAATTTCAAACTTTTTTCCGTCACAGATAAATAATACTTTTATGTATAGAAACGATGAGGAAATCCCGAAAATATCTGAGAAATCAACATCCTACCTCCTCGATTAACCTACATAAATATCCATAGTTTCCATTTTATCAGTATTCACAATCCACTAAAAAATATTTGGATGACATTTTTTTTAACACAAAAATGTTTCAGCCTGTTTCCATTCCATTGCATCCAAGTGCCAGGTGGTTCCGTTTAGACCAAAACCAACCGAAACCAGCTTCCAGAGAAGACATCCTCACTGTCCTAGCCAATGTCGAGACGATATTGATAAGAGCCACCCAATCTTCAGATACCAGCACTGCCTATTTAAGTGACATAACCTTGGACACAGCTGTCGACTTATTCACCGGTCAACCGAGAGCCACCAGCGTTGAAGTTTGCAGGTATGTGATAAACTTTTAAACAAATAATTTTTCAATGAATCCATAGAATTTTAGAAATAATAGTGTACTTCCGAGAATATAAATATTATTTTGCTACTACTAAGAGAAATTACCTTCAATCAAAGGTAACATGATTTTAACCTAAGTAAATGATGAAAAACTATCGATATTATATCAAAACATTCCATTGTCCATCCAATTGTAAACCTAACATAGTTGAAACTGCAAAACTTCCTACAGGTCGACGCAACTATCAAGTTATAAAGAAATTTTGGAAGTTAGCGAAATTCATGTTTATGAAAATGTCATTCACGAGATGTGAAATGCTGATTTGAAATGGGCATCGACTGAGAGAATACGGCTATATACGGTGAACATCAGTTCCACGTTAGCATTTGAAAAGTGAGGTACACACTTCCATATAAACATCACTGTCCCTTCAAATTCTTGAGATCACCTGTAAATGTATTCGACAGACACTGTCGAATTTCGTTAGTTTTTTTGACCTTGCGACTTGATATATCTAAATTATTTGAAATAGGTTCAATTAACACGCTGTATGTTATGCTTCAAACAGTAGAATGGAGAATATGAATCAGTGAAATATGCTGATACTTCAGTGGTAGTAGCGGAACAAATATTATATTATACCTCGAGTGATAATGTAACCTCGGCATATCCTGATGCTCAATGAAAGTGAACTCGGTTTGCATTCAGACCCTAAAAATCTGTACACTCAATCAGTTTTATAATTTCTGACACGCCTTGATATATTGTATATTCCACATACGAGTTAATGGTTCAATGTACATACATTTTGGCGTTTGATTACTTTTTGTATTATCAGTACCATAAACCAAAATGAACCTATGTATTTATTTGTCTAGGTGTCCTCCAGGTTATAGAGGTTCATCCTGTGAGGCTTGTGATTCCGGATTTTACAAGGACTTGTATTATGAGGGTGCCAAACCTCTGGGATCCTGTTCTAGGTGCCCGTGCAATGATAGGGAAGAAAGCTGTGAACTGGGATCAGACCAACGAGTTGTCTGCCATTGCAGACCCGACTATTATGGAAGATCGTGCGAATATGGACGTAAGTTTCGATACTTGTCTTACATAACTTTACATTTGATATTTTGCATGAAGCATGGGTATATTTTACAAATCAATGGAAAATCTTTGGGGGTATTGATTGAAGTATGACATATTATTCAGTTAAGACAATAATGAGACAGTAACTTGTAACATGAAAATTTACCTTTATCTCAACTTGAGTATCAGAATGATACAGCTTCCCCTTGTTGTGCTCAAATTTATATCAAGTACATCCTAAGTAAACAGCTAGACTTCTAGTTCACATTTTATTACAATACCTTACAAGATGTGAATTACATTATATGACAATTTTGGGTATTTCATCATGCTCTTGTACCTGTTGGATTGGTTGGCTCACTGCTTATGTTTTTGGGAACTTTTATTGACTGAAATTTATAATATTTACTTAGATTTGATTATACATTTTGGAGCATAACTTACCTCAGTGCAGTCCAGGTATCCCTGGTGCAGGTAGATCAAACCCAGGAAGCAAGCTAAAGTCCAGAGTAGTCTGAAAGCAAAACAGTTTATTAGTTGGAATCAGGGATTACCTATTTGGGTCCACCGAAGTTCTCTACTCACCAGCATAGTTGTGCAGGCCCCATTACTTTCCTTAATTTTCCTGATTCAATTCTTTGGAAAGCTATTTTCAAATTAGTGATTGTTTATTTTTATTTTCTTGTCTGTCACTAATCATTATGATAAATTCCAAGTATTTCAAAGTCGATTTGTCTTATGTCAATGCCATAAGTCACGTTAGGTCCTCTTCCTATTTCAAGTACCGTTCTGCTCGGGACATACCTCTTCGAATTGGTACCCGATACTCCGGAAGTCAGGTCGATTCGAATTTTAAATGAAAGTCATGGTCAGGTATCATAGATTGTCAATTGACATTAAGTATCACGTGAGTCGAAGCTTTTATTTAACTGGCCAAGATCCAACACAGGTGTCAAACCGTGATTGGTCTGTTGATCACGTGCTTCAGCATTCCTAGCAGCGTGGGTGCGCAATATGCAAAGTAGGCCGTGGATGTTGTTTTTTTGAATAGTTTTGGTGTCTGTTTCCGGCTCTTCTGGAGTTTGGGGAAGGGTTATCCGCCTTCTTCCACAACGATAGACGCCATAATGGTCGAAAGACGATCATTTTTGTTTCTGCCTTGGCAAAGGGCAAAACTAATATTTTCTACATTGTTTTCTCGTGAAGTCGCTCCCCCGTGGAAGGTGAGTCTTTTAAATCATTTTTTTCTTAATGCAGTATATGAAACATATGCATTTACCAATGTAGATTTGTCGGCTTCCACGAGACCCTCAGTTTCTGCTGTCTCCACGAGTCACCGCGTGGCCCCAAATTGAACCACCATTCATTTGGAATACTTTTGGCATGACATTTGACACCTCTACCGGGAATAGTTTTGGCAATCCTGATTTCTGGCACGATCCTGGCACCCCCATTCACCTCCATCATGATTTCGTACAGCAAGGCTTGTTCTCCAGCCTGAAGGCACGACAGGTTCACCACCTTCTTGACCTTCTTCCGGCACTAGTAGCTGGGAAACCTCAATGTCCTCAAAATGGGGCCCTGCTACAAGGATCACCCATTGAAGCTATGCTGAGGATGGGCTGCACTGGGGCCAAGGGCCAATCAGGCAATGCAAACTGGTGAGCTCGTTCCAGATTCATTTCTTGTTTTTTTATGGGATAGTTATATTTAAAACACTACAATTCACTGATTTTTTTTTATGTGCACATCATGAGTAAAATTGTGATAATTCTTATTTTAATAAGTTTTGGTGAGTCATGAAATAGGGTTCTGTAGCTAAAGGCAATCAGATCTAAGTAGCTATCATATACCTAAAAGTTACAAATTTTAAGTCATTATCTTGATCTTTAGAAGTGATAAAAGTGGGCCTGTTATGTAAACCCTTGCAGCTGCATACGGTAGGTACCTCCACTAGGTTAACACTTTCATTATTAAGTCACATAATACACATAAAGTTGACTGCCAAGCACTTTTATTGGTTTGTTTCAAAGTTGAAATTTAATAACTTGTGAGCAATGAACTTTGAAGATCAATAGACTTATTTTGACCAAACTTCTTGATTTCTTATTTTTCATTTCAACAAATTTAAGTGGCGCCCCCTTTCAAAGTATCAAAGAAACTGAGTAATAACATCTGACCATTAACTCACGACCCAGCTCTCCAGACACATTGGCTGCCGTTCCTTGGCAACACCATTTTGCAGAGCTTGGTATTTATTTTTGGTAAATCTTTACTAAAATGCAAAAGGTGGTGACAAGATTTGGCGACGCAACGTGTAGGGCCAGTTTTTTTGAAATTTTTTGAAAGTTTTTATGTGATGTGCACTATATTGGTGAATTATTTCATAGGTATACATTTTATACATATGTGAATTTTTACATAACATTTTCTGGTAAAATTGGGAATTTTTGGGGTCACTTTTGGAAAGGTGAAATTTAGGTACTTTTTCATGTATGAGCAGTGGATTTTCTGGTCCAACAGGGACAATAACTTGGGTTTTTTGAAGTATTGAATATACTCTTTGAATTTTTCATGAAGGTAAATTGAAATGTTACATTTACTTTCTTTTGGTATGGTATTGTGACCATCATTAGTTTTTTTGCATAATTAGGTGATTTCAGCCTCCTTCACAAGAGAAAATTACAGACTTTACAGGATTTGACATACTGACATTGTAAGTTCTCATAAGTTGAGTTTCTTTGCATTTATGGAATGTTTATAAGAAAAAATATTTTTTCACTTGTGTCAGCTGACACTTATAAAATTTTTGAGAAAATTGAATTTTTGAAAAATTAGCACTATACAGGGTGATAGATGCTTGGTATGCAATATTTGATAAATATTTGCGGATTTCTTTCATGTTTGATGAGAACATGATATAGTTACTTGGTACGGAATATTTGGTGAATATTTTCGGATTTTTTTTCATATTTGATACAAACACTATACAGGGTGTATTTGTTATCAAATATTTTAAATATACTTTCAATACTTTCATGATTAAAGGAATTAAATCATATTGTACAGAGTGATAGTTCTTCGGTGGTAAAGCTATTTGGAAATATTTTTTGAAATATTTTTTGAGAAATTTTTTGAAGATTTTTTTGAAAAATTTTTCTGGACAATTTCTAACTCTTGAATTTTTGCAAATTTTGAAATTCTTGTAAATTTTGACAGTCACTTCCCAAAATGCCGGACAGTATGAAGGTGAAACATCTACTTATAGATGAAATAAATTATGAGTTACGTATACGGGGTGTTGTTACTCAAAGGGACATGAATGATAAAAGGAAGGCTTTAGGAAGACTTATAAAAACCAATACGGTTCTGATTCCCGATTCTACATATACTTTTGCTTCTGAATGCATAGCAATTGAGAATACCTTAGATAGTATTAAAGCTGCAATTCCTGATTTTGAAGGTTCAACCGAAGATTCTTTATACCTACGGTTAAGATCTAGATTCATTCATATTATAGGGAGAATAAAAAGAATGCCAATTGATTCAGCAGTTGCAGCTGAGGTATTATTTAAAAATGAAGCTCTAGCAACAGCTTTAACTTTAGAGGCTGATCTGGATGAGCGAATTACAGAGCCTGTCGATCAATTAAATTCAAATGTAAATTTTTCTTCAACCTTTGCGCAACAACCACCTGCCGTTATACAGGGTACTTCTAAAGTAGCTTCCATTTATAAGTGGGACATCAAGTTTGATGGAACAAAAAAAGGTTTAGGCGTCAAAGCTTTTCTTGAAAGAGTCACTGAGTTGTCTGAAGCAAGACATGTTACTAAAGTTCAACTATTTGAATCTGCAGTAGATTTATTTTCTGGCAAAGCATTGTTATGGCTGCGCCATGTAAAGGATTCAGGTAATGTTCACGATTGGGATTCACTTGTTAAAAGATTAGAAACAGATTTCCTTGATAAGGATTATGATGAGGACTTATGGGAAACCATAAAGAATCGGAAACAGTCTGATGATGAATCAGTTGTTATTTTTGGAGCCATCATGGAATCTTTGTTTAACAGATTGAGTTCTCCCCCTGCAGTAGTAACAAGAGTTAAATGGGTGCGAAAAAATTTGAAACCAGAGTACATGTCACGATTAGCATTAAATGAATATAATACAGTTGATGAATTATTACATGATGCAAAGATTTTAGAATCTGTATTAAAGGATACTCAAGTTAGGTCAATTTCAAAGAAACCTCAAGTTAATGTTTTGAATTTTGAAAGTGAAGCTGGGACTTCAGGTAATTCCAGTACTCAGGGTAGGTATAACAGATTTCAAAATAACAGAGGTGGAAATAGAAATTTTTATAGGAATTCAAATTTCAGAAAAAAGAGTAATAATAATTCAGGCAACCAAACTTCTACTGTGAATACTTCAGTTGCTAATGCTGGTGGAGCCAAAACTGTTGTTTGCTGGAATTGTAAAGGGCCTAACCACACTTTTCATGCTTGTACACTTAAAAGATCAAAATTTTGTTTTAAATGCGGCAACCCTGGAGTAATAAGCTCAGAGTGCACTAAGTGTTCGGGAAACGAACAGTAGGGGCAGTTTCCAGTGGCCGAACACCGCTCCGAAAATTTGAGGCCACAGTTCAGTTGAACTTGAACAATGATAGATTATCTGGTGAACAGAAATCTCACTTGAATTTTGTTAAAAATTATTTTCTACATTTAAAAACTCTAGTAACTGCTCCCATTTTTACAAGAAAAGGCTTGGATAACCGACCTTATATAAGTGTTAATATTTTTGATAATGCATTCATTGCACTTTTGGACTCTGGTGCCAATCATTCAATACTAGGACGTGAGTTTCCAGATATTGAAAGTTTTTTTGAAATTTCAATTAATATTTCACCTTATAAATTTGTCACGACTGCAGATGGTGCAAAACAACAAGTTTCTGGTATAGTTGAGTTACCGATTTGTATTGAAAATACTTGTAAATTAT